GGAGTAGTTGCGTCAGTTTCAGCTACGTGGTTTGACTGTAACTTTATTGGTCGCAGACAGCCTTCGAAAGAGATTTTGATCTCAGAAAATCTTATAGGACTTGATGATCGTTGTGCGCATGATGTTATAGCGAGCTGACCATGTAATGGCTCGCCAACATTTCCCTCGGGTCTCTCGAAAATAAAAGACGCCGTGACTGGCGCGAAAGAAAAGCCATGCCATCGTAAGTCATTATCCTGAAACATTACTCGGGGCATGCTCACCACTTGATATGATATCCTCTGCTCTGAGAACAACAGAGGGTTTGGGTGTGGCTGGTGTAATATACTCAAGGCTTCTGTGGATATCGTAACGCCAGTCGGAGTTTGGTTGAAATGCTGGCAACAGGCAGGTGTTAGAAAACGAGGTTCCGGCTTCTGAGAGGTACAACAAGAGATATATTGTAAAGTAAAGGAAAGAAATCTTACCCCTGTTGAGTAGCTCCCAATCAACTCGTAAAATCGTTTCGCTATCTTGTACTCGTACAGCACATTCCCTCAAAGCCCATCCGAGCTTTTCCATAAGCTGCCACCAGCCCGAATGCCGCCAAGTGATCTTAGACCATAGTGGCTGAAGTATATCATAAGCTTCGGTCCAGGAACCTACCCGCATGTATTCTTCCGCAATCTCTAACCTCAGGCACTCGGCCTTCCGCACCTGATCACGCTTGGAAAATTCATCTAGGGCGGCATTCAATGCAGTCAGAATTAGGGCAGAATGATTAAATCCCGCCACCCCTGATTGGGGTGCTTCAACATGAGTCTCCGGTGCCAAGTATGTGTCATATAGGTAGGACTTGCTCGCTATCTGAGAAGCAGGAGACTGCCCCGGCGGTATCCTGTCTTCGTCCGGAATCTGCTCTGCTAGATGACGTCGGCACATTGTATGCTTTGCTGATCGATAGAGCCAATAGCCTTCGTGATGTAACTGTTCCCACGGATAGGACGCATCTCCGGGAGGGACCGTCTTTTCACGGGGGATGAAGATCGAATACTGTTCGTTAAACTGATCCTGTGTGATGCCGACTGAGGTGAAGTAGGGAATTTCAGCTTGACGAATCAGTTGTGCCATTACCATTGACCATCTGGCTTCCCAAGCCTCCCATCCATAGTTCCTTGTGCCTTTACCTCTCCGATTGATGATATCTTGTGAGCGACTTCGATGTTCAACCCAAGACCGCACGGCTGCAGCGGTTTGTCCCGCCCAGAGCAAACAGCGAATAATCCTTATGGCTATAGTATCTGCCAGAAGGCGTGCATCGTTGAATCTTGGGCTCCAGCCAGCAATATTTTCGAAGACTTCCTGCCCAAACAAAGTCTCGTATGCGCTCTCATAATTCCTAAGAGCTGCATCTATCTCCTGCCTAAATTCTGCAAAGATCCCCATCTTAAATTCGTACCGGACATTCCATCCTTGAAGAGACAGTGTTTGGGATGTCCCCGTTGTCGGTGGGGCCGTCGGGGGAGGAATACTACTCCGGTTTCGTTTCCGTCTGGCGTGTTTAGACAAATCCCGATAGTACTCCATCACCGACGGTTGAAGTAGTGTCAGAAGGGACTTTCCAAACTCTTTTAGTTCGTCAGGTGTTGCGTCAGGTGGAAGGAGAAAAATAGACTTCTGGTCTAGATTTGTCGCTCTGCGAATGCCGGTCACCCGGTCATCGACATCCCCGGTGAAAGCACCATTACTTTCTTCCGAAAGGAGAACAACGATAAACCGTGTCTTATAACCTGAGGACGACCAGTCCTTCTTCAGTCCATTGATTTCGATCTTTAATTGATTGTCGCGCAAGGAACTCATATTAGGATCTAGGCAGAAGGGGAAGAAATTTATCACTGCGGCAGGGACAAGGCTTTGGTGTTTTGTAACCCATAGGGGTGTGAGTAAGCCATCTGAAAACGTCGGAGAACTAGGCGTCAGCGGAGATATTGGAGAGTGAAGTACAAAGTATGGCGCATGCGATATGTCATTGCCCTGGCCAGTGGGGCTCATGGGAGGAGATACAGGTGGTGGATCAGCTTTACGCGGGGGAAGTCTATAAGACTGCAGGCATGTTAGCAAAACACTCCTTAAGCTTCGAGCAAAGCTATAAGTCAAAAGCAGAAGAAGGAAAGAGAAACATGTCATGACTCTTGGGGCAGTTTCTCCTCCGGGCAACCAGACTCTTGAATAGTCCGATACGTAGCGAGGTTGGCCTGGGATAGTAGTGTACATCGACATACCCGTCCAAAGCTCTTGATTTTATACTCAGTTCCGGCGGGTTCCACTAGAATATTTTCCCTGGTTTCCCAAGGAGTTCGCGACGCATCTTCCGCCAGAAGTATCTCCCGCAATTCTTCCGCAGTCGAACCGCTCAACGGCGGCAGATCCGAGTATATATGGACGCCCTTCTCGTGGAGGAGGGGATAATCAGGGCAGCTTGACCCCAAGCCATCTTCGGAGTCAGGTTCAAGACCAGAGAGCAGGACGAAAGGAAGGTTGTGGACGACATAATCCTCAGGGTAGGCGTCCATCGCGGACAAGGTAATTTCTTAGTGGGACGTGAGGTCACCGCATATCTAACCAAGTTGGGATGAGACGTTTGAATGGCCACCTGAGGTGATTGGCTCGTAAAACAGGCGTCAATTCGAATGTTCGAGAACCGTTTATGCAGAAGGCTTTGAAATAATCTAGAACGATGCTATATTCTTCTGGAAATTGTTGGGTGGTTGTGGTAACGGTGCATTTTCTTGCCAAGCCACAGTTAGGTTGTAGAAAGTGGCTTCTTGTCGAGTTAAACAGTCCGCCATCATCAAAACATGCCAAGCCTCCTAGTATCAGCGGATCCTTCTAGGCACCAAATGTCATCTCACTTGTTCCTCCATCTAACAGTAGGACTAACGGCCCTTTCCCTTTCTCTCTTTCTCTTTATTATGCTCTCTTCTTTTTTTTTCCCCACTCTCTTTTTCTCTATAGGATTAAGTTTAAGTATATATGTATTGGTTTGGTTAATGATTAAACCGGTAGGAAAAAGAAAGAAGAAGGTTATCTACAAGCAGACTGAGATTGTTTACAGCCTGTAAGTATAAACACGAACGGGGGGGTGTATGAAAGAAAGTCGTTGTACAGAGTAGAGCACGTGCATCCAATTAATTTCACGTTGCTATCAGAGCCCCGGAAGGTTCAATAGCTGGCTATGCGGTGGAAATGATCCTGGGACAGAAGAGCTGACGTATATTAACCATGATACAATTGGGGGAGGTGAGGAGAAGGAAGGATTAGAAAGACATTTGGCTTACAGTGTGTCTCACTTTAAAGCTACAGCTATTATCCTTAGTACTATTCTTTGGCACTTAGAGATAGTAGGTGTGCTGTACAAAACATACGCTCTATTGAAAGCATACCCAATTAGCTGAGTACCGAACATAGTGGAGAGAAATGGCCTGTCTTAAAGCTATTCGAGAAACAACGGTAATACTCATGTTGATATATCTGCGGATGTATAGGTAATTGATTGTATTAAGAAGAAACGGGCTGTTAAAAGATATATGTTACCGTTCGTTTAGTCGCATAGGCCAGGATTTAGGGTGAGCTACTAGTAGTACATATTGCTGCCCGTTGTGATTATTGGAGGAATTTGATCCCATCATACCTAAGTACTGACCACGGGTACTGATTCGAATAGAATGTTTGTTTAGAGGGTGCTTCGATGACTTGATCAACTGACTCGAAAACTCATGGAAATAAATCTGTCAAATTATCAATGCGGTTCAGTGGGGACAACTTTCTAAACCGGGTCCGGAGTCTCCATTACTCAGTAGCATCATGGATCTTTACGATCACAGGAACCAACCATAGTCAGAATTTCAGGATGTTCGAATTAATTGCTTCCCGCACCCCCTCCTAAAGCTCCAAAATTGACGATAATAGGTGGGCCGGTCCCTTGGTTCTTTGAAACAAGTGATGCGGCAATAAGATTACACGATTAATTAAATTGGATACTACTACTAGTAGTAGTATGGAATCATGCAAGACCTTCCTGACCAAGCGGTACCTAGAATAACAGCCAGACACTACGCTGTATTTTATCTCTTTAATTCCAATACTAGAAAACTATTAGCATTGGTCCGACACTCCCATCCACTAACAAAGAATAACGACCATAGATGATATGGTTGGAGGGGTTCCCTGAAATTTGGATCTGCGAACCGTGCGGAGGAGGTTTCAATTGCAAGCGGCATTGCAATGCAGAGAAAATTTCAACTACCGCCAATCGGGGCATCGGGCAATACCACTTCAAGCAAATAAGAATAGGGTGGAGAAGGACGACTATCCCACTTTCGGATAGTAAAAGGGACGCTAAGAATCTTTTTTAAGGAGTTGTACTACTCGTAGTACGGAGTTCTTGGACCTTACCTACAAACCTACTAACCGACTAAGTATCTTCGACGGTATTATTATGCCGCTTAGGAGGTGGAAATTAGAGAATAAAAAATAAACAAAACAGAAAATAATACATGATCACAATAAGATTAATATCTACTAACACTAAGCCTATGATAGATTGAATTTAACAAGAGTGATTGTTCCTTTTGCACTTCGTCTTTCTTTCTATCCTGAGCTTGTATTTTTAAAATGGAAGTCGTCATTTTCTTATTCAATTTTTTTTCCCTTTCTTCTTCTGCCCCTCTGTCAGTTTTCTTTTCCATCTTCTTCTAATGCTATTTCCCTAGCACTAAGATACATAAATGACTTTCTTTCTTCCCCTGCTATCATCTTGTTGAAATACAATTACTATGGTAACCGTTAATAATCCTAATTGATCTTCAGTACACTTGATTACCTTTCGAACCCCCCCCCTTTTTTTTTCCTCTCTCTTTCAATTTATATTATCTTCGATCAGCACTCCCCCTCGTTTCCGGTCTACTACCTAAATAAACAACAGTCCTGCAAGGGGTGTGCATGTCGCAAGGGCGTCTACAGGATTGGTCTGGGTCTAAATTGGATCTTTGATTGAATTTTGGATATTTTACTTTTTTTCTGACTGGTAGATGCCCAGTAATCTAGAGTATAGATTGACGCCGTTGGGCTAACTTGCAGACGCCAATCCCTCCTGCGCCTACTGGATCATGCAAGTGCGCGTCAAGGCCGCCCGCATATATCGCCTGTGATTGCCCTGACCCGGTTCCGGGGATAAGGTTCGTGAGGTCTTATATACCCTGTCGATGGTCACTATGGACCGCCCGGAGGACTCAGCGGCGTCCATATTCAGTGCCCCCTTACAATCCTCGTCGTCGCTTTTAGCCCGTCGACGCAAATCACGCTCACATTCTATTAATCGCCCCCCAATCGATCCGGCATCGCCTGAAGTAATAAGCTCCTTAATATCGTCACTCTCTACGATTTCGGTACCTCTTCAGACACATTTCGACAGCGTACCGTGTCTTGATTCCGATACCGACCTTTCGCTATCTGTTTTACCATTAGAACGACACTCCTCCCCGGGCGCAAGTCATGAGCATGGTGTTGGGGTGAGAAAAGGGCCGCCTCAAGCCTTCGAAGAGGCTTCGCATAGTCCCTTTCTACATCCAGATGACGCAGCCACTGCACCAGTCATTCGTATGGCCCGGGCTCCTCCATCTCCAAAGCCAAAAGTGACGACCACCGACGCTTCTGCTTCTCCAATGAGACCTACTTCTAGGGGCTCATACACGTCCTCCAGAGCAGCGTACGAAGACAACACATTCGGCATGATCACAGCCGAACCTGGTCCACGAGTCTCGACTGCACCTAGTATTGCCTCAACTAGTTCCCGGAAAAGTTTAAAGAGTCAGTTTGGCCTGTTGAAAAAGTCGTCTCGGGATTTCACATACGACAAGGATAGGCACGCAGAACGTTTGCGGAAGACGAGTAGCTACAACGACAGTTTAAGACATAGTCTTCCCCGAAGTAGAACCAGTGTACGCTCGATGCATTCCATCGCTGATGTGGCCGAAAATGGCCGGCATAGCCGCACCACTAAGGAGGCCTTTCGAGAACACGGGGCTAACTCTCATAATGAAGAGTACTTTTCGTTGCAAAGCGCGCGCGCGAGCGCACCCAGCACCCCCGGAGGCATCGGAAGTGGCAGGATAATTCCTGTTCGCGAGTCTTCTCTACGTCATAGCTTCTCTTCCAGCTCTAAGCACCGGAGATCTACTCGCCATAGCCGATATTCGTCCACGGCAAGCAAAGATACGAAAGTGGATAGTGACACTGGAATCGAAGCAGAGCATGTGACCAAGAGGATACGAGAGCTGAAGGATCAGCAACAGAAGATCAAGAACGAATTGGAGATAGACGACAGCCCCGACAAGGTCTCAAGGGAGCCGTCCACAAAACACACCCAACTACCGCAAAAGCCTAGTGCAGTCGACAACGGTGGTGAGCAAAGTGCTACTAGAAGCAATAGGGTCAATGTGTTCGATGAGAGCGCTCCAGCTCCAGCTGTTATGACGGGGAGAAGTAGATCAACAACCCGTAATAATCCACAACTCGCATCAAAAGCAACCAATTGCCCGACACAGTCGTTCGTGCCGAGACAATCCTCTGACAAGCTTGACCAGGTTGAAAAGTTGCGTTATCGACGTTCAGTGGAACAGTCAACTACGCCGCGGCACCACAAACGTTCCCCGTCCGGCCCTGTTTCTCCAGGACGCACTTCTGTTGTGGATGAACGCCCATCCAGTGCCGATTCAATCGACCTTGCAGTTCTAGATTATGTTTCCGCTCCTAGACTTACCCAGAAAGTAACCCATCCTACCACTGGCCGCGAGATAGCTTTTTCGGAGGTCGGAGACCCTAAAGGGCATGTCGTATTATGCTGTCTTGGAATGGGCTTAACCAGATACCTGATGGCGTTCTATGATGAGCTAGCACGATCGCTTCATCTTCGACTCGTCACGTTGGACCGCCCCGGGGTTGGCGAAAGTGGGCCTTACATAGATGAGGCGGGGACTCCTCTCGGTTGGCCAGGTAAGGACACCATGCTCGGCCTATGAGCATAAAATTCACTGACCCGCCATAGACGATGTTGCAATTGTATGCAACTATATCAAAGTAACAAAATTCTCAATCCTCGCCCATTCGGCCGGTGCTATTTATGCGCTGGCAACTGCCCTAAGGATCCCCCAGCATATCAGAGGCCGCATACATCTTCTAGCCCCCTGGATCCCACCATCTCAACTGTCTAGCATCGGCTCACAGAGAGCTCCAGTTCCTACGAATGCTGTTCCGTACTCTCAACGAATCCTTCGTGCCTTACCGACGTCTATTTTGAAGGTTGCTAATTCGAGCTTCATGAGCGCAACAAGTGCGAGCTTGACCGCTAGCCTCCCCAGATCCTCTCGGCGCACTAGGCGAAAGGCGACAATAAAAGACTCATCTAGCTCAGCTTTAATTGAAGCCAGCGGCTCTCAACGTTATCCATCCAACCGAGTATACCAGCAAGGAGCTGATTTCCAAGCACTACAAATCAAGAAACTGCAAATACCCAATGGAACCGGAGTTGTAGATAGAGGAACTACAACAAGCCAGGCGGTGACTGAGTTTGAGAAACGTGAACGCCAGTCTGATTATGACAACCGCCTGACGCACAAGGTCTGGGAACTGGCCACCACGAATGCAAATCCGGCGGTGGACCTCGTCGTTTGCTTGGAACGCCGACAGCCGATTGGATTCCGCTATGTCGATATTACCCGCAATGTCGTTATCCACCATGGAAGCAGAGACACGCGCGTTCCTGTTGATAATGTAAGGTGGCTTGGCCAAAGTATGCGACGCTGTGAGGTTCGAATCCTCGAAGGCGAGGGCCATGGGCTGATGGCCTCAGCAACAGTTATGGGTAATGTCTTAATGGAAATCGCCAAGGAGTGGGAGGACTGGATGACAGTAGTCCAGGGTAAGCGTCGAGCAACTATAGGAACAAGGTCAGGCATCGCTATTCAAGCCTAATTTGGCTGAACTGCATCTGAAATTGCTGCATCAAAGTCATGGGAGATTTCGAAGTATCTGGAGAATAATGGATGGGGAAGAAATCGAAAATAAAAAAAGGAAGAAACTTTAAACATTGAAAGGGCGTCAGATAGGTATTTCGAGAGCTCTAGCCAGGACCAGGGCCTCCCACCTGAGCCTATGCTGTCATCTCAAGTGCTACTGTTGCTGGTTTTGCAGTCTTTGACTTTCACACGTTCCTTGACAAGACACACCTCGCCTACTCTGCGATTGTGAAACTCGCATTCACATTCCTATATATATATATATATATATATATATAAAAGCCGACCTGCCCCTGCGTTCGATATGATACCATTGGTGCTTTCAATTTTTTTTTTATCTTGTTCCTTTAGCCTAATACCCAATCATGCTGTATATAACTGTTTAATCTAATTTACAATAAAAAATCGCTTATTACGGAGGAAACCTAAGAAGATGTTATCTATATGATTGATATACGTAGCTAGTAGTCTTGGTGAATAGTATGATTCTGTGACGTAAGATCTAAGCGCGCGGCTCCTGATTTCTAAAAAATTTAATTACTAACTACTAGTACTCCATAACTACTTGAAATGCATGAATGTTACTTCTTCCCGCCCCCACGTCTGCGCTCTCTCCAGTGACGCTTAAGCCGCACTGTACATGTTGTCGTTGCCACCTTCTACAATAAATATTTATTTAAAGGGGGCGCTCAACACCCGTAGGGGCATGACATTATTATCATCCCTAATTTCTCTGTACATCTTCTAACATCAGGTGTCGGAGCTGACTCCCCAGATGTTTACTTACCCTTGGTGTCGGAGCTGCGCCTATGATCTGTCGACGCTGCTAAATTGTTGAAAGAATACCAACTTCAATGCACCCGGAAGCTTACAGACTTTGGGAACACCGATGCCAAAGTTCTAGAGCATTAGAGCAAGCTGTCTTAACCGAACGACTACCACCGCAATTCCTTCGACGCTTCTAATCGGCTTTATTTACTCAAGATGCTACCTCAACGACGCATCAAGCTTCTGGCTATTGCTACTCTAGTGCTGGTTATTATGGTCATCTACTATTCGGTAAAATAGTGCCCTGATTCTTTGCTCATTAATCGTGACTAACAAAGCGCACACCCATTGTTTAGAGTGATGCACGGAGGGTACAGAACCAGAAGTTCTACCGGTCTACTGTCGCCGCGATAGAAGCACACACGCAGACGAAGGAATCTGGGGTAGCTGCAGGCAGTTCCCTGGACGAGCAACGGTTAATCGGGAACCCTACTCATGGGAACGCAGCAAAGCCCGCAGACGATAAGATGGCGCCAGCGATCCCAAGAAACGGCGATGAAGAGATGGAGGAGATATCGATTGCCGGGCGGACAAAAATGACCGTCCCTAAAGACCGCAACAACCCAGAAAGGGAAGACCAGACGTCGAGTACCGATGAACGTATGGAAGCGAAGACCGAGCTCAATAGTATACTAAAACGATCGCCGAGTAAGTGTTTGCAGATTTTATCACTCCCCGGCATACATGTCGCTCGGTTGCTGAGATTGTGCCCGTTGTGCAGTTATTGTCTTTTCCAAGTCCTATTGCCCCCATAGTGCCCGGGCCAAGTCTATCCTCTTAGACAAATACTCAATTGTCCCAGCACCTTACGTGGTAGAGCTTGACCAACATGCACTGGGCCAACCGCTGCAGGCTCTCTTGGCAGAGAATACTGGCCGCCGTACCGTGCCTAATGTTCTAATTAGTGGAAGAAGCATTGGTGGCGGGGATGATGTGGTCGCTCTCGATGAGAAGGACGAGTTGGCGTCAACATTCAAGAAGTTGGGAGGACAGTGGGTACAGGAGGTTAGTCGTAAGGAGGTAGGGCTCTAAGACTGACGCTACTCAATCACGGTGATAAAGCAACCACAATACTTAGTTATGATTATGAATATTATATAATACGTATATATAACTATACACACTTTATACATCTCAGGTTGGACGCTCTTGGTCAGAGGAATTTGTTGGGTGAAGCATTGCGCGTTGCGTCTACGAGGGTAGGTGAAAGGTCATAGATACATAGGTAATCAGAATCATAACTCGGCCATAACTACAGGATGAGTATACCTCTCCGTTTAATGATGGTAGGATCAGGTATGTTTAGTCGTTGATAGTATACTAGACTTGGATATACACGTGATATCATGTGATAAGCTTAAGAGACCGTGAATTGATGAGGATGAGTTGCGCAAGAGAGAAATAACGGCCTCCAAACATAAAGATAATAATAAGACGCACTTCTCGGTCCAAAATATCTGTAGATATATACATACATAATAATTGGTCAATACCATCTGAGACAGGGAATGCCAGGTTGATCCTCAGGCAGGTAAGTGGAAAGGTTATCAAAACTGGTACTGTATATTACCAAAGTCCGGAACAACCCTAGACAGAATACGCTAAACCTGAACGAGTCTTAAGCGACGCACAACCCGTGATTTTCACTCCACCAGAGAAAGCGACCCGGTTGCCTTTGAGGAATTTCGATCCTTTCGAACGACCGACCGCACGACGACATCGACAATTCTCCCTCGGACATTCCACAGCCCACGCAGTCAAGATGCGGTACATTCACTCCGAGGAACGGCTGCCCATCCCCGAGAATGGTGAGCATTGGATCGCCCCTGAATATTGTTTTGTTTCGGTTTTTGGAGGAGAAGCATGAGGCACACATCGCGCAATGAGAGGCCTGAGCCAGGACACACCAGCGCCGGCAGGATGTATACGAGGGGAGGAAATATTTACTCGATCGATGTCGCGGGGAATTACGACTGGTCTTGTTCATCGCTTTTGAAAGGCTCTGCAGACTGATTCGAATTTTATCGTTTAGTGAAGGTTCACATTCGCTCCCGGGTTGTGACCGTTGAGGGCCCTCGAGGTATGCAAAAACCCCATAAGTTGAAGGAGATCTTCTACACCAAGAAGTCACTCTACAAGGATCGGCGTCATGGAGAGAGAACAACCATGAACGGCCTGCTTGGTTTCTCGGCTCGATTCGGTCACTAACGAGACTTCAAATCTTTCAGGCAAGCTGGTTAAGGACCTCTCCCACATCGCTGTCACCTTCGGCCGCCCTGAGAAGGATGTTATCTCTATCGAGATGCACCACGGTGCCCGCAAGGGTGTTGCTACCCTCCGTACCGTTCGCACCATCATCAATAACCTGATTATTGGTGTCACTAAGGGCTTCAAGTACAAGATGCGCTACGTCTATGCTCACTTTCCCATCAACGTCAACATTGAGAAGAACTCTGAGACTGGCCTTTACGACGTTGAGATCAGGTACGCCAAATCCATCCTCCACATGAATCCAATTTCTGTTTTCTGGAGCTGGGAAGTGATTAGGGTTCACTGAGTCACTTGTTCTATGTATCGTGGAAGAAGGAATTCTTGCTGACGGGTTGTCCTTCTAAATAGAAACTTCTTGGGTGAGAAGTACGTCCGTCGTATCACTGCCCAGCCCGGTGTTGAGATCATCACGTCCCCCAACGTTAAGGATGAGCTTCAGCTCTCCGGCAACTCCCTCGAGAATGTCTCTCAGAGCGCTGCCGACATTCAGCAGATCTGCAGAGTCCGCAACAAGGATATCCGAAAGGTAGGGTTCTTTTTCTAAGTTGATCATGATTGTGAAGCGGTTGCTGACCATTCCGTTCCAGTTCCTTGACGGTCTGTACGTGTCTGAGCGGGGTAACATTGTTGAGGAATAGATGATAACGGGGATTGTCCGCCTTGATGGGTAGTTAAGGATGCCAGGGGAATTTAATTTTCGCCTATTTGCATAGGGAAGCAAAGCGGAATTAAAGCAAAAATTTATGGACCATGGAATTCAAATGCCCCCTTTACGTGTCCACGGGTATGGCTTTTCTCGGCTTGGGGAAGAGGCGTGTAGAAAAACGACAAAAAGATGGTGGGCCTCTTAGGAGCAATCCAATTTCCTTTTTCTCTCTTCAACCGCTCCCATACGACTTGAAAGGAAATGCTCAGAAGATCCCAAGGTAGATCCAGGGTCTTTTGTGTATATGTTGTAGTTATCAAAATAGTCATGTGAGTCTAATCCCCAATGGGGAGAAGATCAAGAAATGGATGTGGAGAAGTAATTCCTCGTTTCTCTCCTACTTACCTACACCTACATCTACACCTACATCTACATCTACATCTACATCTACATCTACATCTTCATCTTCATCTTCATCTAACTTTATTTTGACACATATTGTCGCGACACTTCCCCCTTCGCCATTAAACCATCGGTATTGATTGTGTCTTCCCGCATGACATACGCCCCCCTCTCTTCCCCGGTTAGCGAGCATGTGAAAAAGGAAAAAAACGAAGGCCATCCGCTCAAGTACTCCCCTCTGAACATGTGTCAATCCTTTCCCATGCAAACTCTGTCAAGTTGCTTGCGATAGGAATGGTGTCTTGGGTGGCTATTTGCGGCTTATTCGCCGCAGTCGTGAATATGATATTGGACGTCGCGCAATTTTGGAAAGAAGTGCGTTCGAGCCCCATTTTCGGGCTAAGCCAGTGTAAGGAGGCTAATGTAGTATATTTTACGACAATTTAGAGGTTATTGTCATGGTGGAGATCGAAATCGCCCCGCAGCAGACTGCGATACCGTTTAGCTAACGCCCAAACGTACGAAGAATGGGAGGAAGCTGCTTTCGAGTTGGATGAGCTTCTGAGTATGGATCTCTGGTGAGCTTATTATCCTCGACCTTCTTATCATCGGCTGCAGTGTAGCAGACCCTCACCGAAGACAGGCGCCAAAACCCAACAAGCCGTCATTATGATTATCGACTCATTCTGGGCCGGCTGGAGGCCTTGATGGGTGCTCGAGAGGACGAAGATATCCTGACATTGGTCAACCTCCTTCGCTCCGGACTTGTCCGCAATCTAGGCAACATCACCTCTCCCAGGCTGTCGCTCCACGCTTATGCTGGTACAAAGCTCCTGATAGACGATTATATCACCCAGGTTGCACTTTCCATCCAGCATGTGACAGCTCTGCAGACAGCCACTGTTTCTGAAGGTAGATTCGATTCTCAGGCTAAATTAGAGCTATTACACGACACCCGGCAGGCCTTTGGCAGAACGACGCTCCTTTTGCAAGGCGGGTCCATCTTTGGGCTATGTCATTTGGGCGTGGTGAAAGCCTTACACTTACAAGGTCTCTTGCCTAGGATCATTACAGGGACCGCCACTGGGGCACTCATCGCAGCCCTCGTTGGTGTTCACACGGAAGATGAATTGCTGACCTTCCTCAATGGTGATGGCATTGATTTAACCGCCTTCGACCGCCAACGGAAAATGAGACTCGATACCGGAAACAGTCAGTGGCTACCATGCACTACGGGTGACAGTTGGTTGTGGACTTTGCTTCGGCGACTTCAACGGTACATTCAGAAAGGCTACTTTCTTGATGCTGAGGTCTTAGAAGAATGTGTTCGAGCAAATCTTGGTGACCTAACATTTGAAGAAGCGTACGCACGATCGAAACGCATCCTCAATATCACGGTGGCGACGTCGGACAAGGGCGGTACTCCCAATCTGCTCAATTACCTGACCGCACCGAATGTGGTATGTACATGATAGCTCATATGTCTTCCAGGGCCGTTAATGCTGACAAACATTCTAGTTGATTTGGTCAGCAGCAGTGGCCTCAAACGCATCGTCAAACTCACTCTATCAGCCTGTTACAATCTACTGTAAAGATGAAACTGGCTCTATTGTCCCGTGGGGTCTTTCGCGACATGGTTCCTCCCAGTCGGGGCGCCGCACGGAGTACACGGATGCTGAATCACCGCTAGCCCGAATTGCTGAGCTGTTTAATGTGAATCACTTCATTGTATCGCAAGCCCGACCATACCTCGTCCCCTTTCTCCGGTCCGACGTGAATCTTCTAGATCGCCGTCCCACGGGGCAGTGGAGTATCACCCGGTCACTGATGCGCTTGGTCGCTGCTGAGATTCGCCACCGACTGAGACAGCTCGATTATGTTGGTCTTCTGCCACAAGCACTCGCACGACTTCTCATTGAAGAGACTATCCCTGGACCCAATCTCACACTGGTTCCGGATCTCTCGTTGAAGGACTTTACCAAATTATTCCAGAACCCAGACAAGGAGTCCTTGGCTCATTGGATCCTAAAGGGCGAGAGAGGGACATGGCCTGCAGTCAGCGCCTTGAAGGTCCGTTGCGTTATCGAAATCGAATTGGACAAGGGCTACCAGGTTGTTCGTCGACGACGACCAGCTGAGAACCCTTCTTCCTCTGTCCAACATACTATGGGTCAGCGCCGCATGCCAAATGAAGGGATCCCGAGGAAGTGGAAAGGGTATAGTACCGATCGCGACAGAGACATGACAGGTTTATTGGGAAATTTTGATCACCAGCAGGACTGCAATCTGTGAAAGCTTTTGTATCAAGCTTCCTACTTGTGTACGTATGTTCTGATGAGGATTGGAATACAGTGGGGGCCACATACTTTTGGGCCACCACTGTACATAGTTGATTAATCCTGTATGCGCTTTTCCAGCCATAGGGTAAAACCGATGATAATTATCTCATTTCTCAATCATATCTAGGGAAGGGTTAGTTGTATTAGCTGTAAGTCAAGCTTGTTGGATTTAGAAAGTAGAATTTTCATAATTTCGATTCATAGAGAGAGAGCTGTTTCTTTTGCTGCGCCCCTTTCCATTAACTGCTATTATTAGCTTGATAAATATGCCGTGGAGATACCACTTTGATGGGAGCCACAAGGCCCCATACCTACTGGATCTCTATTGCTCAGCAGCACTCAGCCTGGGTATGAAATTATTTATGCTAGGGTAGAACATCCATGAGTCACACACCCAAGTGGTCAAGGTTGTATCAATGCATATGAGTAAGAACCTATATAATAACGTTCCATCGACATATACTAGCAACCTGTTAGGGTATATATATACGATGAATACCTTATGTACAGTTTGTTTGAGTGGAGCTTGCATATGCAGTCTGACTCCCATATCTTGACATGCAGTGATGGTATATATAATTAATCCCTTGCTCCCTCGGCTTCTGTTCATGCGTGTATGATGTACTGGCCGAAACGGCGATCGAGGAAGTCGACTAGATCCCCTCATGGGCTCGATGTCCTTGCAAGAAGGAATGTGGGGAGAGTCACAAGGCATGAAAATGGAACAGCCGTAAGCCCTTTATAAAAAAAAGTCATGCAGATACTGAGCCTAGCGATTGCCAAAGTGGTAGAATGAGAAACATGAATGGAGCTTCCATTCCAACAATATTCGGTCACAAGACACGTGAGGCTTAGAATTTGACAACCAAGAATAGCGTCACTTTCCTTGACACAGAAGATATATCACAATATACAAGATTGCCAGATGTATACAAGAAGCAGAAGAGAACCAGTTAGCAAGGGAACATTGAGATCACCCTACTGAGGGTAGCTGTACATGAGTAAATAAACTTATTATCATCATCGCAACAAACGCGTATCATCTATGGAAGTGTAGATTTTGATTGGCACCGATGTCTTACGTATTGAGGGAACCTCGAAACCCACCTACATGGAATGTTCATGCAAGCAGGGAGCTCCAACGCAGGACCTAATAATTAATTGACGGCAGTCTGTGGGCGAGCAGATTGGGGACGCGACTCAGAGCGGTGGGGTCCTGATCGTACGGAATAACTCTGCGAAGTTGGGCGCGCATTGTCTTGGGTTGGATCATATGCCAATGGAGGAACTAAGGTATATCTCGTCAGTCACAGTCATTGTGGTGCATTGGATTGGGGGAAGCACTCACTGCTAAATCCATATCCTTCGGTGACTCCTTCCCGGTTTTGTGGGTCGATCTCTACGCGAATGGAAACATCCAGACCGCCGTACATGCCGCTATTGTTGCTGAAACCATCCGCCGCAGAGTGGCTTGCGCCAGCATTGATCTCGCCCTTATGGAGGGGGGAGTGGCCGTCTTTGGGCAGCGGTATCACTGCACTATCATTCTGTTGTGTTGGGTCACCCTCATTGGCCAATAGGGTATCAACTTCGGTGATGCACGCGTAGTTGCGTGACGGCATTGTCACCTTATTCCAGGGAGCGCTCTTCTCCTGACCTCCTGGCTGCTGATCAAACATGTCCATCAAAGTCTCATCGGTATTTGGGTCAAGATGGTGGAGTTTATTTCTTCGGGCTAAAAGATTCGCAACTGCCTTCGGAGGTGGCTTGTTTGTGATCGCGCTGCTGATGATATTGACCATATATCGAGGGTCGTTTACACTCTGAAGACCAAGATTAGGGTTCGAATAAAAACGTCCAATAGCTGCCAAGTGTACATCTCCACCCAGGATCGTGACACGAACAGAATGAGCCTTGGCGCATTCTTGGAGACGTTGAATAAATAACCTGCGTTCGCGCTTGTGCTGGCGAGCTGTGTAGTGGTCATCTAGATCATCAAGCAGGTCTACTTGACCGTCAAATTGGTTGAACAAGCCGCCCGCAAACCCAAACCGCTTGTTGAGCAGGCGAATTGGCGCAATGATTGGGGAACTGAGAATATTCTCCAGCCACGCAAGGCGTGGATAAGCAATGGGGACGCCCAAAAGCACAATCAGATGTTTGATATCACCATTGGCCGCGGTCAATTCGTGCTCAAGCCGAGAAAAGATGAGATCGTACGTATCAGGATAATTCACCTGATGACGGGTGCGTTCCGTGCGTGCATCGACGCCGATGAAGGCGATCCGCTTCCCGAGACGCATGTACAAGTTCCTACTCTTCTCCTCTACATAGGGGCCTGGTCGCTTTCCAACTATCCAGCTATCATCCTCGGCCTGGTTTTCCAAGATAAAGGTATTCTCCAGCTGTCGAGAATCCGCCCCCGCTGTTCCGTTGACTGCATGCATGGTCTGCGGGGCATCTGTCGTGTAGGTCGATCTGGGCGGTGCGACGTGATGCTGAAACAAGCAGTAGTACTTGAAGGCAACGCCTCCAATGCCACGAAAGACGGAACAGCGCATGAAGTGGTCTGTGTAGGAGCCGAAGCCATCGATTATATCGTGGTCGTCCCAGATGTTGATCTGAGGTATGCGTCCATTTGCCGCCTTGAATGGTTCAGTAGAATACCATCGTACATAGTTTTCATAATAGTACTCATCACATCTAGCTCGCAAGTTATTATCAAAATTGTGCGCACGTCTTTTGTGGGGGTTAGAGATAGAAGTCCATTCTTTCAATGGACCGTCAACGCGGATTCCATCATTGTATAGCTGGTCGCCACCACCAATCATCGCATGGAAGGGGTTTTGCGCATGCACGCGCAAGACATCGTTCCACAGGTTTGGACCGACCCAGGCGTCCATATCTGTGCCAACGGAGAAGCCATTGCAGGAATGAAACATAAGACGCATGGATTGGTTTATAGATGGGACCACGAAATCCCAAGGCGATCTCACTCCCTGTCCCTCCGCATACTGAAAACCTGGAATGCTGTACTCCCAGCGCGCTTCATATGACTGGAGAGGTAGTGAGATTGAAAATCGCCAGAATGCTTTCGATGGATCCTCGAAAAGGCGAAGGCCGGCGATTGCAATGTTTTGGTTATTGGATAGACTCCCATTGACTGAAGTATTACCTTCGACAGGGCCAGCCTGGCGCAAAACGAGCTGCGGCTGCTTTTGACCAGGTTTCGTCACAATCAAAACACTTCCACGCCAACTCGAGGAGGACGGAGTGACATCCGTATTCTTGAAATTGATTAAGGGCCCGCAGATTACATCAATTTGCGCATTCGAATCGTGTGATTGGCCATTGAAGGCTGCACCTTCCGCAAATCGACCACCGAGCAAAGTCAGCGACATGGTCCGCTTTTTGAACCATCCGGATGTTAATAATAGAATGCTTACCCAGCTGAGTTTCTGCGGCCATTGCAGTACGATTCCTCAAGGCCGCAAACTGCTCGCAACAGATACAACAATGAACAAAGGAAACAATAAACGAAGACAAGAAGAAATTACTAAATGTGTTGTCGCGGGAAGTGTAATCAATTGCACTGAAACCGCTAGGGGGAAGGGTATCAAGACAAAGACCAAGAAACAAGACACAAAAGGGGAGGGGGGAAACCAAGAAGGGATCACCACGTTATTAAACTTCAAGCGATCCACAAGAGATCACGATAATCTGTTCACCGTACACAAGCGAGTGGAAATGGAGATAAGAGCGCCTGATCATGGGTCGGTTAAGAACAGGGGGGTGATTGAGAAGGCAGCAATAGTCAGCTTGGCGCAATTAGTAATTAGAAAGATAGAAGGCCAAAAAGCGTGCTCGCAATGAAGAGGCAGATAGAGAGAGGGAGAAGGAAAGAACGATTTGCCAAGGAAGGGGGAAAATAATAATAATAATAATAATAATAATAATAATAATAATAATAAAGGAACGAAATGAGGGGGAGAAAAGGAAGAGAGATCCAGCTAAAGAAGCGAGGTGGAATTCAGATAGACCGTAATGTATGTCACCCAGCGATTCCGCAGTAGGGCTGAAGGGCTGAACGGAAAAAAAGTGAAAGGGGAGGGAAGAAACGATAAAAATTGGGCGAGCAGTGCTTGGCCCCGAATGTGCAGGCAGGTGCCACGGAATTGTAGCTTCACTAGTAATCCGTACCAAACGAGCAAGATATGAATAGTAGTAGTTCCTTGGCAGTTGATGAGTTTTGTCCACCCTAACATGCTCATTGGTATCCGGAGTTCGTTTGATGGAGGAAATGACGATGAGGCACACAATTAAGCCAATCGTCACGCAGTGAGCCACAACCCAGCTCAGCCACCAAGACCCACATTGACACCGATTGGTGAGGGGTTTTTGTGGCTGTGGACCACTAGGTCCATGGTCGTTTGTTATTATGGATGGAGCCGTTACCAGGTACCGTATGGACTCCTCTAGTTTATTACTAGTAGTACAGTACATACGTGGAATGCTTGTGTGGCTGTGACCTGCTTTCCGAGGCTTGCATGTTAATCAGATGATACGTAGATAGATACAGAGTACGGAGTACAACTTCGAGATCCCCTCTTTTCCTTCTAAACCCTTCTCTCTGTTCTCCCCACCGCCAAGCAAACAGCAAGCTTCCGAAAGGCCAATGATCCTGATGGGTATAGAAGAAGAGCGTCAATATTTCAAGACATAGAAGCTACCAAGAGATCAAGCTCCAGTACAGTTCCCTTTCCCAACATTATCCATACAAAGAGTTGCAAACACAAACACAAACATGAGATGAATAAAAAGTGCTCATAAGATGTGAACGAGATGAGGGCAGGTGACCCGACGAATTTTAGTGTCAGAGTGCGACGGATCGAAGGACAGACAATGCTGACCTAGAAATCATACAATTGCCCTTACTTCCCTTCTCATCGCTTCTTCTCTTTTCCTTTCTTGCCCTTTCGTTTCTCTTCTTTCCTTTTTATCTTCCTTTCTCTCTTTTCCCACTTCTTTAGAGAAAGCATGCCTAAAGTAGAGAAACGCCCGAAGCCGTTGACCTGCAAGGTATTAGTCATAGACAAAAATTTCAATGGGTGAACTTCAAATTCCAAACTCCAAACTCCAGGTTCAGTGAAAAAAAAAAAAAAAAAAAAAAAAAAAAAAAAAAAAAAAAAAAAAAAAAAAAAAAAAAAAAGGAGAGAGACACGGAGGACCGAACAATGATAGCAAGACTAAAACAACCAATATAGCCCCTCAAAGCTGAAAACTCAGAGAGATTGAGATCCAACCAGTAATCTACCCATGAAGTCATTGCGGAGCATGATTGTCGAGTTCCAGATTGGAATCGAGGCGATAATGGGTCACCAGCGCTTTTGGCTTCAACATGGAGAGTACTTCTACTTTCCAACTGTCGTTCTCATGGCCCAATAGTGGAGTGACCGAGTCATTTACGGCCTTTTGTTGGACATCCGTTGCGAGTGCAGTCAGCAACTCTTCAAAATGAGCACGATTCTCAGGGCAATCCAATTCAGGTCGGGTCTTGATTAGATCAAGAATCTGCTTCAAGAGGAGAGAGAGCGGAGTTTTGTGGCGCTTTGTCTCTCTGAGGCCGTTGTACGCTTCGTCCTCATCTTTGATAATTTTGGGAGACATCGAACTCCAGCAGTGTAACCCAACCGATCCATACTTAGATCGGGGTGGAATTCTTGGAGTTCTAGCGGGGCACAATGCAGCTAGACTCTCTTTAGACCTGACAACCATCCATCCCAGAACCTCCCCCGGAGATTCAGGAGGTATGTCAACCTCCGGAATGGTGAAGAGACTTTCTAGTCGTTGCTCCGTCTCTGCCCTTCTCTGAACCCGGTCCTGATGACGGAGCATGTTGCAAGTGTCTAAGCCTGGTGCACGCCAAGACTGAGCTTTCAAGCTGCCATCTTCTACGGACTTGCTAAACGTAAAAAGGTCGCTAGTGAACTTGCCAATAGATGAGTTCCGCTGGTAAGTTGCCTTCATATAGCCGCCCCGTGGAACAAACCATGCCCTGTACGAGGCCCGTGCCAGGATAATACGACACTCTTCCATGTAGCGGGCGAGCCTCTCTTTGAATCTTTCCATGATGTTTCCGCCTTGTTCGAAGATAGCCTCCGCAAAGTCCAGCACCCACCGGCAGAAGAGAATGGTAATGACGATCTCCATGCCTGGATCATCATATGACCCCATGGCTATACAATAAGGGCTTGAGCTAAGAATTCCCATGCCAACATGCACTTCCTCAGAAAGACCAGACTCTAGAAGAATGATGAGATCCGGTATGGTGATACTGTACATGGTGAACCCAAGGTCCCACACACACCAAAGATCATCAGTCTTGTTGGGTATCCACTCAAAATGACGGGCAAATAAGGCTCTGTTGTTATAGTCAAATCCTAGGATATAGTGTCTGCCATTGAAGGAAGGTCCCAAATCGGCAATGGGAAGGTTCCAAAATAGGAACTGAGGTTCTTCTCCAATATTACATGGCTCAAAGGCACGTTCTTCCAATAGTTCATTGTAATAGACAGGGCGACAATCAATACCGTCATACACGAACATGCCATTGCGTCGCGCAGATGTGCCTTTCCCTCTTTCAACGGAGCAGAGGTACAAATGGTAATCTACTACCTCCCAGGGATGGCTCACGCCGTATGTAGGAGGCTCGTTTCTCGGCTCGCTGACCTCCAGGTCGGTAGAGTCATCGGAGTGTACTGAGCCAATCTCGGATACATCGCTGGAGTATTCCTCTAGAACCTCTATTTCTTGAGCCGGATGTAGTGTGCCTTCATCGAAGAAGGACTGGCTAACATCCGAGAGCGATACTGCGTCAAAATCATTGCCATTATGTGCACATTTGATTGCCCCCCAGCTTTTCTTAAGCCTGAAGACGGGGGAGACGGGAGTCTCGCTGGCTGCACTGAAGTTAATCTTGTAAGGCATTCTCCCGCAGCCCAAACTTGGGCTCGAATGCTAGAAATTCTCTGGTAAATAGAACAGAGGTTTCGACATCAAGGGGCGAGAGCCAAACCCTCCACACTTTGTGCAATACAGAAATCAAGACCAGTAATAACCTTCAACAAATAGTCCAAACAGCTAAAAGGTGAAGAGCAAATAAACAAAACGAAGGGGCGAAGGGAATATGATATGAAGGGACTGTTCATTGAGAAAGATATTTAACGATCAGGATTGCTAGGGGAAGGGGAGAGAAAAAAAAATGAAGGGCAGTGAAAGAAAAGTACCTGGGTGAACACAACCAAATTTTTATAAGTATCTATAGATTACCCATTAAGCAATGGCCCTTGCACATTACTAGACGTAACTAGAGAGATTAGGCCATTCAATTGATGAACTATGATATTTCTATACAACCCAAACCTGTGAACCACTGTAGGTAGTCAAGTTTTATGTGTTTAATCCAATTATATAGCTATCTATTGCTGAGAGATCAGAGGCGACACCATTGTAAATCATGAGATGTAAACGCATGGAGTGGAGTCCGATCAGGTGTGGAGCCTGGCTTTGTTCACTCACAGGAAGATAACACAAGAAAGCAGTAGCCACAAGTCTCCTGTCTGGGATATCTTCCTTCTTTCATAGTCCAAAACAAGTCTTCATTTTAGGCTTTGAGGTTCTCATGAGTGGATACCTGCTGCAGTTGCTGAGAGGTGGAGCATATAGTACTTTCTTTTTGTTCACTCTCAGTTTCTCTAGAAAACCATATATATCTGAAACAATAGTCGCAGATTTTGGACTGAATAACGTGCATGTCCTGGACCGTATAATTGTAATCATTCTGGCCTATTCATAAGTTGAGCATTTCTTCCCCCTATTCCCATGGTTGAGATTAGTGCGCTGGAACAAGGTCATGGAGGAAGAGCGGAAACAAAAAATAAGAGGGTGAAAAAAGAAAGAGAGAAGAACTTGAGTACTATATGATGTGCGTGAGCAGAGGATTAATGGGTGTTTGTCGTAGCGAAAGTCACTGCTGAGCAGGCACACCGTAGTTATACAGTTCTAATCTTCCCATTAACATCAATCCCGAAAGGTGCGCTCAAACCATGTCTTATTTATTAGTTGTTTGCTGTCCTTTCGCATCTTGTATGCAGTTGACCATAGTGTTCCCGCTAGGAATCCACCAAGGTGAGCCCAGTAATCAATCAATGCCCGGCGGGTAAACATGTTGACGAATTCCAGGGCAACAAGGCCAGTCAGGACCATCCATCCTTTGGCTGAGGCAACGTCATGCCATTCAGATGGAAGGAAGAAAAAAGTGAAATTCTCACTGTCCACATAAGGTAGTAGATGTTAGCATGGGCTATGCAAACTGTATCCAAGAAGCCGTTCAATACGTACTCGGCATGAAGCATGCACCAAGCAGCAACCAGAGCTGAGATAGCTCCGCTAGCTCCAAGGGCAGTAAGACCCAAATTCCCTTTCATGATATTGACGGTCAAAGATGTGAAGGATCCGAAAACGCCAGAAGCCAAATACAGAGCTAAAAAGTTTCCACGGCCAATCTCATCATGAACTAAAAGAAATGAAATCAGTTAATGTCACGGCCACCAGACGGATTATCCAAGCACTCACGCCTTGTCCCAACGAACCATAAGACCACCATGTTGAGTGCAAGGTGATTTGCCGTCTGATGGCTAAAGACGTTCCCAATCAAACTGAGCGGACGAGGATAGGCAGCGACAGTAATGAAATGACGGTTAAGAAGCCTCCAAGCCGGGGGGCAAAGCTTCCATAGAAGGAAAACACCGATATTCGTTCCTATTATAGCCATTACCGTAGCTGCTGCTGGGGGAACATCAGGCCATAACCGATCAGCCTTGGCGGGAGCTTGGTAATTGTTTGAAAAAACGTAGCAAAGGCCAAAAGTTACGAGTGTGATGCTAAGGATCCGGAGAATACGATCACCCTATCAGCGGAAAGGTTAGTCCAGACAAGCATATACAGGACGTGCATCGGTAAACGTACATTCTTCAGCTTAGACACATCCAAGTCCCAGTCAGTGGCTCGTAGATGGTGTTTCTGTATCCATGCAAGGAGTGGACGTTGATTGGGATCCGCACGTTCCCGCACTACACGAGTCGTTAACATCATCATCCTAAAATCCTAAATGTAGGAGTTTCACCTTCCAAAGATGCTGTATCTTCGAACCTCTGGAGTGCAGTATTCTTCTGCCTCATATGCTCTAACTTTTCCCGCTCCTTTTGTTCACCGTCGAGCCATTCTTGGCGTTTCTTTTCTTGTTCAGCCAAGAGACGAGCTTCATTTCGCTTCCTCGTTTCTTTCAGAACACTTCTACCATACGGGTCATTCGAATCGCCTAGTTCAGCACCATAGGAGCCACTCTGAGGTTTGTAGAGGCCCAGCTCTTCTGCGCGTCGGACGAGCTTTTCCTCCTCCTGCAGCTCTTCTCGTTCGATTCGTGCGAGAATAGCAGCATCTTCATCGAGTGGGTAATTATTGCGTAGCCATTGCAAAGCCACATCGAGACTAGAAGGACGGACGGAGCGAGTTATATCGGAAGGGAGGTCAAGATCAAGGGTGCCATCAAGACGCCTACCCTGGAGAACACCGAGAATCCGGTTTCCTAATTGAGGGGTTATTCTCACATGGCTCCCAAAAACTGCATTGATTTCGGCCATCGTAAAAGGCTGCGGCCGGAGCTGGACACCATATTCAACGTTAGGGGCGGGCTTGGTGCGCAGGCATCTCGAGCTTGTAAACGACCGGGCGGATGACGTCGTACGGGGGCAATACTGGAACGGAGTCGTAGGAGAAAAAAGGCTCAAAGGACCAAGGTGCCGCCCGGATATGCTACCAAGACACCATGGAGAGGGCACACAAGTGGAGCGCAGCGAAGTTGTACTTGATGGAAGCAGGCTCAAGGAACGGGGCCCCGAGCATGGGATCCGCCATGCTATACAGAACACATTGCTCATATCCCGCGACTGGCAGTCAAATCCTGCCTGCAATGAGCTTTATCAGCCTCTAAGTGAAACGCGCAAAAGTTATCAGCGAGAGTACAATATTGATAAGAACTTTGCCAGAGGTTTGATGGTGAAAGTCCACGGATTTCTCCGGAGCGCCCGAGGAATTGTTCCGGTAATACACTCATACAGTGGACTGAGCCTGGGCAGACACTATGTGAAGAACACTAGACGAAGATATAATGCTAACAGCCCATATATGCTCCTGATCTTCCTTGCGATATATTGGGTATGTATGCTAGTATAATATATTCGTGCACCGCACTAGAAGGGTGATGCATGTATATGTACATATGTATGTAAATTGTAAATTGTAAATCACTTCAACCCTTTGAATGTGACTACATTAAAATCACCTAACTACCCTAGTACTGAAAGTATTAAAGCCCTGTGAGATTTTAGCCCTAAACACTCTGTAACCCTCCTTAGAAATCAAGATATCGACCCCTGTTATGTACATACAAGCACATAGTAGTACGGAGTACTGTACAGTATATGTATGTTTTGTCACGTGGAGATAAAAGCAAGCAATGATAAACAGTTGCCAATTCAGTGTTAAACATCACACACAGGAGTTCAGCAGGAGAAGGAAAAACCAGTAGAGACAACCCGAATAATGTCTGCAGAATCCCTTCCAATTACCCCTGCTGCATTCATGGAAGCTATCAAAGAGCTTCCGCTTTCCTCCGTGTACGCCAAAGCCTCCGAACTTTCCAACTCCATCTCACACCTGCGGCGCTCAAATCAAGAACTAAGGGCGTTCATGAATGAGTCATGCGATACCGAGGCTGAGAAAAGGGAGCTAGAAAATTATGTCACTGAAAATGAAGAAGTGATAAGATCGATGCATGAAAGGAATCTGCTACTAAAGTCGGAGATAGAGGGCCGGGGTCAGCGATGGATTGAGATGGGGGACACCGTGCCAGATGCGAGAACAGATGAGATTCATCAGCCATCCGTATCTGAACCCGTCACAAATGGGGCAGCTGCAGAACGACCAAATGGTGCGCAGCAGGAGCTATCCACCACGAGGTCTATTCCTAATACCCAGAATGGCCACGGACATGATGGTGTCTTTCTTTGAGGCTACCTGCGCAAGCCAAGATAGCCTTGCCTCCGTCGCCCGATGAGCAAGCTTGTTCACGCAATATGTACGAGAACCTCGATATTGAAACAGGAATGCTTCTATATGTAGGTTCAGACAAAATTGAACCCAACCATATTTCGCAGACCCAAACTGTATGGTCACTAGAATTCTCAGTTCTCGCTATCAGCCTTCGTACTAGGTCTAGCGAGCAGCCCTGGATCTTCTGAAATGATCAGTACAGATCCTTTAGATGATGCACTGCTGTCAATTTGAAGCATGTGAGGTGCCTGCCCACGTTACTCGAGTTAGATTTTTCAGGCCGAATTGATGTAGCAAGCAGATCTTCTATCCTACATTTATTATTACATGTTCACTTGGTTCTATCGAAGACAGTCATTTCCACGTCACACTAGTTCTAAGAATAACCAAGATTATCCCGACCCCACCATAAATATTTGTCATGGAGTTCTATGCACTTATTGTGGAGGCTAAGAACAGCGGCATTGGTGAGTATAACCTAATAAGACAGATTACTTTAACGGATAATTGCAAAAGTAACACGAAAAAGATATTCACATCATATGCTTAATGCGCAGACTCTCAATTCAAGCAGTGTCATCCACTATATCATGCTTTTACAGCCTAAGAACAGGGGATAAGAAAACATAAAATAGAAAGAAAAGCAAAAGAAAGACTGGAAAGAGATGCAAAGCTTGACCGAAAGACCAACAAATTTCCAACGCCAGGTTGGAAGACGGTCAATTGCAAGTAAATGCAGAAATATAACGACTTCTAGCTCAGCTAGAATTTGGTTGGCCCCAGTGACCGCCCGAAAGCGCCTCGGGGGGGATTCTCTGCTGCTTTATGAAGAGATCGATCAATGGCTGCATAGGCTCCATCTCTTTGTCCGAAACAAGCCTGTAATATTTGGCGACTGTAACAAAATGTACGAAACACATGTTGAGGATGTCGTGTTTATTAATGTGCCAGAAAGGGTGCAGCCAATGTGCATGGTACAGATGGGCGTAGCAACGGAACATCTGCTTCATGATTCCTTGGCAGTCTTTGTAAAATGTCTGGGGGAAGCCACTAGACTTCCCAATCCACTCCTCGCCAGGCGTGTTCGCGCCAGGACTGGAGGGGCTGGTGCCCGAGATCTCATGAAGCGCGAAGGTATCCGGCAAGCCGTTGACCTTGTCGGTGGGGAACATAACGGGGTCATGGATCTTGCTGATAATCCATTTCTCGACACGGTTGATGAACTTGGGGGCAGATATCTTGGCGGCACGACCATCCACGAGCCAGGTATACGTTAGGCTGGAAATTAAAATTGTCAGCCGAGGACCAATTTATTGGGTATACAGTGGTGACCATCATTCAACTTACCGTCCAGCAGACATAGTTGGGCAGGTGGTCTCGTTGCAAATGGGGACACCAGTGACTCCATTAACCTCCTGGATAACCTGGAGCATACCATGGAGCAAGCGATATTGTTCGACAACTACATGGGGAACGCGATCAACATATAGAGTTTCAGAGGGGTTTATCGGACTGTGCTTACTCTGATGCGCCAGCCATTCCCCAAGCTCCACGTTCTTAGGGCAGGCACATAATGTCAAGAAATTACCCTTGACATTTAATGGGGCATACTTTTCCTGGAAAAAGTACTTGGGTGCGTCGGGGTCGTATGCTGCGGGGCCGTCCAGGGGCATGTTTGACGCGACAGACGGCGAGTTGGGCACTGGACCCGCCTGGGGAACCTGAGGAGCTGGCGACTGAGCTGGGCTTCCATTGTTCATCTTGGGGACGTTATTGTTGTTGTTATTCTTGTTATTGCCACCCCGGCCAAACCCTTGGCGGCTGGAAAGAAAATCGGGCTTCAGGTTAGTATCAACAGTCCGATAGAGGAGATGTGGGGGGAAGAGAGGCAGAGAAAGTCCACGGGGATCAGTCCGTGGGGAAGCTAAGGCATGAAAGAAAAGCAACATAGTAAAAAGCTAAGCAGTTGGCATAGAGACGACTTGACAGAGCTGATTGTTATACTTTAGGGGGCGCATGATGTGGTAGCCATAGGGGTTTAAGGGGAAGGCAGGCAATGTGAGGGGGACGGTACATAAGGGACAAGTGATATGGGTGAACGAAACTAGTGACTTACACACTTTGAAAGAAGGTCGCCATGATTAAGTTTTGAGAGACAAGCTAGAGGGAATTCCCACCGAGAAGGGATATAACAAGAGCAACAACAGGGAAGTAAAGCGTAGAGAGTACGGAGTAGAGCGAGTCTATTGATATTATTCTGTGATCTCCTCTATCGGTCTGGCCCCGTGGAGCTGTCACGGATGCTAGACTGTATTGGGAACGGAACGGATTATCCTTCATTTCACTATCGCGGATTCGAGTATCAATCGAACATTAGGTACCTTCACAGAAGCTCCGCGGACATCGCAATTGGTGTTCTCGGTATCTCACCTCGACCGCGAGAGAGTTTTGCGAAAGGACTACAAAGCGACCCTGTACACCGAACATATAGTTGAGAAAATATTACGCCAATTGAACTGCAAAAGTCCTATATTTTCTACAACTTCCGACCTCTGAAACTTCGACATGTCGTCGTCCGATGAGGGCATTGTCCGTCGTCCTGGTCGAAGCTCAGGTGCTGGTCAACCTGCTAGCCCGTCCGGCAGCGAACAGAGTAACCCTGCCACCGCACGGAATGGGAGTCCCGTCGAAGCTGACCCTGATATCCTTAACGACGATGACGACGCTGATCTTTTTGGCTCTGACGGATCGGAAGGTGGGTTTGGGAACGATAATGAGTACTACCCACTATTTTTTTTATCGTCCCGTACGATAGAGATATTAACCTGTTATTAGTCAACCACAACGTAACCTTGACGATGAAGAGCTAGATTCCGGCGATGATGAGGATCGCTATGATCGAGTAGGCGACCGCATGGACTATGAAGATGGTGGAGATGGACAGTACCAGGAAACGGTCAACATCATGGACCTGAGCTTGGGTCGGGCGCCCGAACCAGTAACCTCCAATGGCGAGGTTCGTGATATACCGCAATTTAGAAGGAAGGACATCCACATGGCTCACTGAAACCATTCTAGATCTACACCATGCCGATCCCTAACTTCTTGTCGATCGAGACCGAAGAGTTTAACCCGGAAACATATGTTGCGCCTCCGTATAGTACTGCAGCGACATCTCTATGTTGGCGCCATGATCCTAAAAATGACGCCCTCACTCAGTCTAACGCACGCATCATTCGCTGGGAAGATGGCTCTATGACGCTACAGCTAGCTTCTGCACCCAAGGAGCAATACAGGATAACAACCAAGCCGCTTGCGCCTCTCAACAAATCTGGTGACTATGAGACGAAATTAGATTCGCATGTGTACCTAGGCGCAGCTGCGGAGACGTCTTCCGTGTTCAGACTTACCTCTCACTTGAGCCACGGGCTTACAGTCCACCCTACGACTGTGGAAACAGATGATGCTGTACAGCGTCTCCAAGAATCATTGGCCGCAGCTGTTCGCGGCACCAAGAAGACAGTAGATGGTTCTGCACCTGTAATAGAAGTGAAGGAGGATCCCGAACTCGCCAAGCGACAGGCAGAACTTGCAGAGCGTGAGAAATTGAAGGCCGCCCGCCGGCGCCAGCAGCTTGCAGATCGGGAACTTGATCGCGGCCGCCGCGTTGGTGTTCCTCACCGCACTGGAGGTGCTGGTCTCACCATAGGTGGGTTGGAGGATGATGACGGGTTGCTTACCACACGACCCCGCGCAAAGAAATCTCGTCGGCCCAACAGGCGAGGGGAAATATATACCGATGACGAGGAAGAATACGATCGGCGGGGTCGGACTAGGGAAGATGAATATGACGAAGATGACGGTTTCCTTGTCGGCAGCGATGAAGAACCAGAAGAAGTTGAGGATGATGAAGAGGACATTCTTGAAGATGACAACATGGATGCTGAAGGCGAGGACGAAGACGAACTGCCAGCCGCCAGACCCAGGGAGATAGAAGGCCGTGGAACAGAAGCTGAGTCGGGTGCTGCAGGAACCCCTCCTACTAGAAAGAAGAATCGTTACATTGTGGACGATGATGATGAGGAGTAGAGGCCACTGACTACAAGTTTCGTTTCATGATCAGTCTTGCCACCTATGAATCAGTCCCTGACGACATCTGTATCTGTATGAGAATTTTTGGAGTACACCATAGCGAATGAAAGATCACTTCCAATTAACTCATACTGTTGATAGACTAGGGTGAACCAGAAACGTCCTGTACTTAGTACTTGCCAATTGTACTGATAGCTTGCACACTACTTGCCTAATGTTAGTGACTTCAACTATTTACTACTATTGCAGGGGTGCTTCTATGTACAAGACGCGTATCTACGCACGGAATGTATCGGAGTTAAACACAAAAAGGATAGGTGGAGACACCAGATACGCATAGTTCGTGTGAGATCGTACTCTTCCTAAAACGCCGTCAAAACTGCAACTAATCGAGTATTCACGGTCAACCCAAGTCAAACGCCAAAACAATCGTCACGTGCATCATCGTCAAATGGAGTGTGTTGCTGTTACGACAAAACTTCTAAAACATGTGATCAAGAGATCACGCCATCTGGGTATTCGTGCGGCTCAAATTCGAATCTGGAAATAACTTCTCTGGCACTCTTAGCCACTCGAAAGCAGAGCCAGCCCTGTTCATCACGTGGGTCAGGACCAATTGCAGCCGGTTTCTTGGATCCGGCGTCAGAATTATCGGGACGAGCCTCTGGGTGCCGCTCAAGATGCCACTGTCGTTGGCGTGCTTCCATCTCTTGGACCAGGGAGAGCAAACTTGGTGAATCAGAACATGTCACTGAGCCAGCTGGATCAGCAGGTCCGCCTATAACACCACTCCGGACTATCTGCCGGAGCCAGTCTTTCCAAGCCGCTGTAGGGTCAGCTGAGGTCTTGTTTAAAGCAGCCACATAGGCCGGCGGAGCCGCTTGTTTCCCAAGTTCTTCGGCATTAGTCTTTGACACTCGTAGCCAGGCATCAGCGACGATATTCAGGAGGGTCCCAGTGAACATAACATTCTGCATAGCTGTCGCAAATTTTGTTGGACATGTTTGACAACGAATCACTGCTCGCGCAGTTTTCGCAGCAATGAAAAGTGAACATAGGGTATGTTGAGATATTGGAAATGGGGCAAGAGAGGACAGATGGCTAAGGCATAGATATAGGTATGATAAGCATGTACACTGAGTTTCTGAGCAGTCCGAGTCCGAAGGAGTTGTGGGAGGTGAATGTATGTGCGATAGCCCTGGTGGCATCGCAAACGGATTAGGCGTTGCTGCAGATACGCTGGAGAAGTCTGGCCAAGGCCCAGTTGTTTCAGGGACTGGTTCCGTGAATTTTTCGTGGTTCAGTTCCCATGAATGGTTGTGGTTATCGTTTGCAGATAAAAGGCGACGAGAGGCGTGCGGGATGCTAAACGGGGCACTGTAGACAGGAGCGCAGATACGGAATGCGTCGGCTGCGGCCGTAGCTTCCGAGCAATGACTTGAAGACTTGAATGGGGAATTATTCAGATCAGACCATATTTCGCCGCCTGAACAACCAAGGAGGGGCAGATGGTCGCTATCTTCTCTTGCACGTTTTTTAGGAGGCCGTCCCATTTGTTTCTGCACGGAATAATGACAGATAAGGGACTGCTTCAGACAGCGGTTACAGCCTGTTGCTTCCCCGGAGCATTTTAACTTCCGTTTTCCTGTTTCATGAATCGATTGTCAGTATGCTCTAGACCGCGCATAACCCTTTATTTTGCAATGAAGACCTACTGCACTCGTCACAAGCCGCATGTCTTTTGAGTGATGGGACCTGAATGCTTGTAAAGTCAGGCTTGCCCGAATCACCAACCGCGGCAGTATGAGACTGGACCCAGTCACACTGCATCCTAAAATTGGGATGATGGCTAAACGTTGATAGGAAATAGTAATAGAGCAGGTACCCCTCCCCCAGCAAGGCTGGTACTGCTTCTAAGCCCTCCCCGCCTGTATCAACCCAAATGACGATAAGAGCGGCCCTGAAGGCGGTATGTCACATGGGCGGTCAGACCCCCCCCCCCAAAAAAAAAAGAAAAAGAAAGAAAATCTCGGGTAGAAAAAGGGAAGAAACAAAAGCTTCCACCCAATTTGTTGGACTAAAGCAGACGCAGCCTTCACCATGATGGATGCCTCTAAGTCCTCAAAGAAACGCAAGGCGGTTACCCGAGATGTTGAGGAGGAGGCTGGTGTGTTTTCTGGGGATGAATTGCAGGCTGACGTCCTAGACGGCGCACTTTCAGATAATGCAAACGACATATCCAGCGACGAAGATGTTAGCGATTCGGAAATCGAATTAGTGGATGATTTGAGCGACGAAGAAGATGGCGACGAAGAGGAAGAACTCGATAGTGATGAAATTCCTTCGGGTGGGGAAGAGTCCCTTAAAAAAGCGTCTGTCACTGCAACCGCTCGTGATGAAAGCTCTAGCGACGAGGAACAGTTGAACTACCGCATTGAAAAGGATGCCAATGGAAATGACCGTTACGTTTACGATGAGATAAATCCAGACGATAACTCTGATTATTCTGATGTCGAAGAAAATGCGAACACTATCGGCAACATCCCCTTGTCCTTTTACGATCAATATCCTCATATCGGCTACGATATTAACGGAAAGAAAATCATGCGCCCTGCCACAGGGGAAGCTCTTGATGCGCTGCTTGATAGCATCGAAATTCCTAAGGGCTGGACTGGTCTTACCGATCCCTCAACCGGCAAGCCACTGGAATTGAGCCAAGATGAGCTGGAGTTGTTGCGCAAGGTTCAGATGAACGAAATCCCCGAAGAGGGATACAATCCCTATGAGCCCACAGTGGAATGGTTCAGTAGCAAACAAGAGATTATGCCCTTGAGTGCTGCCCCCGAGCCGAAGCGTCGGTTTGTGCCTTCAAAACATGAAGCCAAGCGGGTTATGAAGATCGTCAAAGCAATCAGAGAAGGCCGCATTTTACCCTATAAGCCCCGAGCGGAGGAGGAGGATAAGGAACAGGATGTGATCAACTATGATTTGTGGGCCGACGAAACAGAGCGACCAGACCATCCCATGCATATTCCTGCTCCTAAACTTCCACCGCCTGGTTATGAGGAAAGTTATCATCCGCCCCCTGAATATTTGCCCGATAGGAAGGAACGAAAGGCTTGGGAGGAGGCTGACCCTGAAGACCGTGAGCGGGAGTATCTTCCAAATGACTTTGGCTCACTTCGGAAGGTTCCTGGGTACGAAAGTTTTGTCAAAGAGAAGTTCGAGCGCTGTTTGGACCTTTACTTAGCACCCAGAGTTCGGAGAAGCAAGTTGAATATTGATCCTGAAAGCCTTCTTCCAAAGCTCCCTAGTCCTGAAGAACTGAAGCCATTCCCCACCGCCTGTGCTACGGTGTTTAGAGGACACAAGGGTCGTGTTCGCACCTTGGCCGTTGACCCGTCTGGACTCTGGCTTGCTACTGGCGGTGACGATGGAACTGCGCGGGTGTGGGAATTACTTACCGGTCGCCAATTGTGGAGTGTGAAGTTAAGTGAAGAGGATCCAGTGAACGTGGTCCGTTGGAGGCCTGGGAAGGACGCTGTTATTCTTGCGGCTGCGGCAGGCGATAATGTCTTCCTTGCAGTGCCTCCTATTGCGGATCCGAAAATTGAGAAGGCCAGTCTGGAGATCATTGACGCAGGTTGGGGATATGCAGCTTCGAAGCCTCCCCTGAGTGCCGCAGAGGAAAACAAGAAGAACATTCCTCCACAGTGGATTCGCCCATCATTACCACTCGTAGAATCCGGGGTGTGTGCTGTCATTCCCCTCCGATATGTTGTCAAGTCTCTCTCATGGCATCGCCGCGGTGATTACTTTGTTACTGTGTGCCCCGGCTCCTCGACCCCAGCTTCTGTGGCCATATCCATTCACACCCTTTCCAAACACCTAACTCAGTTCCCCTTCCGCCGACGTATCAAAGGTGGTGGGCCGCCTCAAACTGCTCATTTCCATCCCTCGAAACCTATCCTTTTCGTTGCGAATCAACGAACAATTCGTGCCTACGATCTATCGCGCCAACTCCTCGTCAAGATCATCCAACCCGGAGCTCGCTGGATTTCTTCTTTCGACATCCACCCGACATCTTCCACCGCCTCCGGAGGGGACAACCTCATTGTTGGATCGTACGACCGCCGTCTACTGTGGCATGATCTTGAGCTTTCTCAGCGTCCGTACAAGACATTGCGATACCACCGCAAGGCTATCCGTTCTGTCCGGTTTCACCCAAGCGGACGCTATCCTCTGTTCGCCGACGCAAGTGATGATGGCTCCCTCCAGATTTTTCACGGCAGCGTTACGGGTGATATGCTCAGTAATGCCAGTATTGTACCTCTCAAAGTTCTTAAGGGCCACAAAATTACCGGAGAATTGGGTGTCTTGGATGTCGACTGGCATCCTCGGGAAGCTTGGTGTGTCAGTGCAGGCGCGGATGGAACCTGCCGGTTGTGGATGTGATTTCATACCATCCCTCAAGTAAATATTGCCAGTCCGCACTGCTATCATTTTGCCCAGCCATATCTACATGAGGCGTTCGTTTTGTATAATATTAGTCCTAGATATCCATCGCAAAAGTTCTATCAACTTGATGAATTTCCTTGTATTTCTACGACAGTCTAGCACTGGAGTTTGGGCATACTTACACCACCAACGTTGTCGGTTGCTTCGTACAATTTTCTCCCCCTCCATTGTCTTTTTCTCGTGCAAAAGCAGTATATTACCTGACAAGTGGTGGGAATGTATGATGTTATAGCATGTCATCATATGCCTATAGCTTTTCCGACGGTTAACAACAATGTAACCATGAATGGAAAAGAGGATAATTGAGTTAGAAAGAAATTATTTATATAACACCCCCGCTCCAATCCCTCCGCAGCTTCTCATACTTTTTGAGGTCTGTAACACTAGGCCGGATGAAAGCTTTGGCAGCCACAAAGTCCTCATGTTTGATCGTGTCCCTCCGCTTGATGGCAGCGTATCCAGCACGGCGGAGTAAGCTTCCCAGGTCGGCACCGCTGAATCCTTCACAATCTTCGGCCAACCTTCTAAGGTCGTCGTTGAAGTCGACGGGGATATTGCGGACTAGTGTCCGTAAAATTTCAGCCCGCTCTAAGGGGCTAGGCAGGTTAACGAAGAGAAGTGTCTCCAAGCGACCTGGGCGAAGCATAGCGGGATCGATAATATCAGGCCGATTCGTGGCTGCTATTATGTAGATTCCTTGGCGATTACTGCCCAAGCCATCCAGCTCAGTGAGTAGCGTATTGACTACACGTGCAGAAGCTTCAGAAACAGTATCGTCTCGTCGGGGGACTAGGGCATCAAGCTCATCAAAGAATATAACACAGGGAACAGACGAGCGAGCGCGAACAAATACTTGCCGCACCGCACGTTCGGATTCACCGACATATTTATTGAGTAACTCAGGGCCCTTAACGCTGATAAAGTTGGCATGCGACTCGTTGGCCACAGCCTTAGCGAGCAATGTTTTACCGCATCCAGGCGGACCCCAGAGGAGAACACCAGTGGGGGCCGTAATGCCAACACTCGCGTACAGACTGGGATTTTTGATAGGCTCAACAATTGCAGTAGTAAGTTCTTCACGGACACCCCCAAGAGCGCCGACGTCTTCCCAAGTTGTGTCTGGGATGGTGGCAAATCCCTCTCGTTTAGAGGAGGGTTGAATCTTAGGAAGTGCATTGAGGAAGTCTGCATTTGAAACGAGAACCACCTGCACCTCCTCTCCAATTGGCGTTTCTTTGGCATGCATGATTAAACGCCGTAGCTCCTTGACCTTGGGGCTGAGATCGTCTGCCTCTTCGATATCCATTTCCTCTCCACTATTCGCTTTTAGTATCTCCAAGTATCGTTTTATGGCAGCAGAGCCAGCAGTAGAAACTAAATCATTAAGATCAGCTCCTACGAAGCCAGCCGTTCTATTGGCCAAGTATTTGAAATCTATATCGTCTGCCAGGCGCATTTTGCGCGTTAGCGCCCGTAGAATCTGCTCTCTGACAGGTTCCGAGGGTACAGTCATGTTGATTTCCTTGTCGAACCTGCCTCCTCTACGCAAGGCGGCGTCCAGACTGTCCGGTCGATTCGTAGCAGCAAGAACAATCACAGGCTTTCCATCGGTTTTCTCCAGTGCCAGGTCGTCCATGCATGTTAGAAGCTGGGCAACGATCCTCTTTTCCATTTCCCTCTGTGCACTTTCTCTCTTTGGAGTGATGGCGTCTATCTCATCGATGAAAATAAGGCAAGGTGCTATCCTCTTGGCTTCCTCAAAATATTCTCGTAGCGCCTTTTCAGACTCTCCTGACATACCAGAGACAATGGAGGGTGCTGATATTGAAATGAATGGAACACCCAGCTCCGCCGCAAACGCATTCGCAATCATAGTTTTTCCGCATCCTGGTGGACCATGTAGCAAAACACCTCGGGGAGGCTGTACATTCGATGACATATAAACCTGGGGGCGAGTCATGGGTAGGATGACGAGATCTCCAAGCGCTTGGACCACATCATCTAATCCACCCAAATCTGAAAGACTGACATGTGTGGGCGGAGATCGATCAATCGCGCTCTCGGCCTTGCGGCGCTTGGAAGAACGGGACTCGCCTCCATGTTCTCGCCTCTTGCTTGACTTGGGCGCAGAGGTTGTAGTTTCCGCACCATTGGTCTCAGGCGCCTTAGAGGGTGCTGAAGAGGTGTTGTTCCACATGCCTACGATGCTCTTATTCAGGTTATTGGATTCCTACAACAGTTAGCCGCTTTCCGACGTTGCGTGCGGCTGGAAAATGAGAAGTGAGATCCTTACCGTAACAGGGGGCAGTTGTTGTTCTTCCAAGCCTTCAAAATCTCCGTTTACAGAGTCATCTTCATCCTCCCCAAGTAAATCTGTTCTAATTACCTCCACAACCCGTTCGATACTGTCTTCTAGAATTCTCTTCGGCTTTCGGTTCAAACTAGAATTTGATCTTTTGATGGAGTCATAAATGGTCGGTACCGAAAGGCGAATCCTATCATTCTCGGCTTGGTCCTCGATGAGCTTGTGCACCACCTGATAAACCTATAGACGAAAGGCAATGGGCGATAAGAAACAAACATTAGAGACTGGAGGTATCATGTGGTCCTTACCTCACGATCTAGACCTTGCCTTAAACTCGGTCTACCTCCGCGACGCATGATTTGCAACACCAATTCCAGTGAGAGCACTGGCTCTGCAAAAATGGACCGGCGAACGGAGATGGCTACGCCAGAACTGATCGATAACAATAATACCGATGGGACTTTTTTTTCCCCGACAGTCTTAGGGTCCCGGGGAATAGATTTGCCGGCGGATGCTGAAAATTTACCTTTTTAGTGCGTAATGTATGTATGCGCATTACCTGTAGCAAGGTACTGACTGCATGTACGGGGTTCGTAATGTACGGTACTTACCGAGTCAATTGTTTGGACAGTATGTATGTAAGTACATACTGTACTTAAACGGTTCGTGTACTTGAACCAACGTCATTTCCATGTGCCGTCCACGACTTATCGCCGACAGGCGACACTTTATCAGTACAATATGTGTTTATAATGGGCAACACGAATAGCTCCCATAAGATATCCGCTCAGGATAGGTGAGTAGAATTTTGGCACTCTTTTATCTATGCCCATCTGTTGCTCGGTACTGGAATCATTCGTGAAACATGGCCCTCGTGACCTGACCCTTCCCTCCAAACTAATAACTAACATCCAAGTATTGCCTAATTAGAGCCATTCTTGATCTAAAAATCCAGCGGGACAAGCTCCGCCAGTATCGGAAGCGTATAACGGTCCTTACCGATCGTGAAACCGAGATAGCAAAGGAATGCCTTGCCCGGGATGATCGCAAACGCGCTCTCCTCGCTTTGCGCCGCAAGAAATACCAAGAATCGCTCCTGATCAAGTCCGAAAGGGAGCTCGACCAACTAGAACAGTTGATTAATCAAGTTGAATTCTCACTTGTTCAGAAAGATGTCCTCTTTGGGTTACAGCAGGGCACGCAGGTACTACAGGCTATCAACAAAGAGATGGGGGGTATCGAAGGAGTTGAAAAACTAATGGGTGAGACGGAAGAAGCACGGGCATACCAAGAGGTAAGGGCTTCTGAATCAACTAATATGCGGAACGTGTGTATGTTGATGAGACGGCGGTGGAACAGGAGATCAGTCAAATGCTCTCAGGGAATCTATCGAACCAGGATGAGGATGAAGTTGAGGATGAGTTGGCTGCATTACAGCTGGAGACGCAGAGACTGCAGAACTTACCACATGCGCCAAAGTCGAAACTCCCAGAAAGGTCAAACGAGGAAGAAAGCCAGGAATTACAATCTCAAGAAGGCGGCAAAGCTAAGGCGCAATCCGCAATTCCAGCTTAAAATATATGCTATTGCCCCACGCTTCTTTTACAGATTGAAGCCATATGTGAGATACCAAAAGCATTTCTAGCGTGGATGGAACGGCCGTTTTTATGCCATCCAGTACATCCCCTAGTTATCTGCATTTCAAATGATAAAATTAAAATTGGTATAGCATTATCAGCCCAGCTCCGATACCGAAAGCTGTATTGCACTGCTTCCTTCACTGCAACTTGCAGCGCAAGCATGTCCCTTGGATTAATCGGTCATCCTGTATGACACAATTTCCCTGGCTTGAGGCGGGGTTTTCTAGAAGTATACAATGTGCATACATGACTCATTGACCGGGCATAATCCTACCTCCGACGCCAGTTACGCCTTGAATTGCGACGTGGTCACTGGGATTGGCTGCTGCTTCGTAGAGAAAGCTGACAGGCTCCCTGTTCAAAGCCATAAATTGACCTTTGAACCCAACATAACCAACCTTAGTCACATCCTCATTCCCATTGCTCCAGTTGTCCTCAAAGAACAAGGTAATGGAGGTAGTAGCATTCCAGTGAGCGCGGTTCAATGGCAAATCGAAGACATCGGCTCCTGGAACCGGCTGCGGGATCTCCACTGACTGTGTCGGCTTCAGCTCTAACGCAGTCGCAAAATCTAGATCGTCACGATTCTTGAACATTTTCAAAGTCTTTGGGGCAGCCGGTGTCGGAGCTGTGTAAATGAGTAAAGAGTGAACCTTTACTTGACCCGTGAAGCTGCGCAAATGGTTAGAGCTTTGAGCTACCAAAAGAGAAGGGAAGGGGGAAAAAGGGAAAAAAGAGGAGGTAAGGGGGGGGAGGAAGATAAAACATCAGTATAGAACTCCGGGTGTTTATTGTGTTTATTTAGTTGGGTTGAAATTATCTCGAGAACGGTGCTAGAGGGGTCTAAAATGTAATAGGCGGGGTAAAGCAGAGGACCTATAAAGCAAAAGAAGGAAAAAATTTAAGCTGAGAAGATCACATCACTTACGGGATATACATCAGCAGTTGCTCGTCCGCGTCGCTTTCAAGTTCCGGCTGGTCATTCAGTCTTTCAGTCCATGTTTTTCTGACAATCGCAGCGCCGGCGTTGGGGGTTGCTTCTATAACTTCGGCTTAGCACCTATTTAGATAATAAAGATAATACAACATCCGTAACTATGCCGTCTTACCATTTAGCGTAACGATAGAATCAAACTGAATTTGGGAATAGAGAAGGGATTGGAGAGCTGGGGTGATATCATTTGAATGATCATGTCCATCTTCTCCATGACAATGACTACCATGGTCGTGGTGGTGATGACCGGACATACTGGGCTCGAATATGATATTGTTATGAGCTGGTTTTTCCTGTACTTGAAGTCATGCACTGTGCATCTAAAGGTGGTGGGGCGTCTTCTAACGAAGCTGGGGTGAGAGATTAAGTTAATCTTCAATTTGTGTTCTGACTTTCCCGATTGAACATTAGATAAATCTAATGTCACTGTTCTAAAAAAAAAAAAAAAAAGGCATTTAAAAGTTATTGTTAAGTTACTAGTAAGACCTTTTAAAGGAACTCCCTCCCTCTCCCCCCGCCTCTCTCTTTCTTTCCTCAAAATATAAAAGCAAAAATAAAAAATATAAATACATATATAAATAAATTTGTAAACCAACCAACCTCAAAGATGATATGTCGTCTCTTAGACTCACCCTCCGACCTTCTTACTTCTCAAAAACTAAGCATAGTCTCACCCGATATCCAATTTTTACAAAACCCTCTGTCTATTTCATCTCTTCCTGGGAATGTAGACTAATGCTGTCGTGGCTCAGTACAAAGCATCCCCTCTCTTGCCGTACTTTTCTCTCTTCTTCTTTCACATAGATTTTGTTTTCTTCTTAAAATGTGGGTTTCAAAGGTAGCCTTTGTAGCCATCTGAAATACATACACTACCTAAACCTTTATGTTCCCTCTGATTGTGAATGCTATCCCATAGATTGGGTACAGTAACCATGAAGCGCTTTTGCCCCCAACGAGCCCTGCCAGAGCTATTAGTTGACTGTGTAGTAATTAGGGGCGTACTCCACAAGATAGCCCCTTTCGATCTTCGTGATATCCCGAATGAATGTCTTTTCGCCTGTTTGTAATATCTCATGAAAAATAACCCAGTCCGCTTTTCGATTCTAAACTAGTGTCAGTAGGGAAATCGAAAGGTCGCGACGACCTTTAAAGAATAGAAACACATACGAACATCAATGAACTGGGATGAGCATGTAGCGTAAGGCCACCAGTAGCAGACTTGAACGTTCCGTTTGGTTGCATCTTTGCAGCATGCGCAAAATAACCAGTCGTGAGACACCTCTGGATATTCTCAGGGTATCTACTCAAATCTGTCTTCTGGCGGAGTGAAGAAGGTGTCTCATCTATTTGGATGCCGAAACGTTCGAGGCATCTCTTAAGCTGAGCTCTGATACTCACTGCCTGTTGTAAGGATCGATAATTCAGAAGGTTGTCTCGGCACCACTTGGGATCTTTCTTCCCTATCGCTATAAATGCCTGATAAACATTCAAATACGTCAGATGGTCACCCTCGCCAACAGCAAATTTTCTGCGACTGCTCTCTGTCGCCTTTTTGTCACCCTCGTGCTGGACCCATATTGATCCCTGCAAGCTGACCATCGCTGCAATTGAAAGTATTTCACTTAGGCAGTTAAACGACTGTGCAGAAAGTAGAACTTTCGCCATCATAGGGTCTACAGCTAGTTCTGCCATCCGCATACCCAGTGGCTTGGTGAGCTTGGCATAATCATCAATGACCCCAAGAGAATAAAGGAGTTCGAATGCACGTATAACAAGTTCAGCAGGCGGAGGCGTCAAGAAGTCAAAGCGAACTATGTTATCTATTCCCAATGCCTTGAGCTGCATTATCACAGGCGCAAGATTCGACCGTTGAATTTCCGGGACTGTGGCTTCCAGAAGTTGTTCATAAGCCTGTTGGGTGTAAAGGCGGAAGCACTTCCCAGGTTTAGTTCTTCCAGCTCGACCTGCACGCTGAATCGCCGCAGCCTTCGATATTGGTACTGCTGTTAACGTTTCAATGCCAGTACTAGGATCAAAGGCCCTTAACTTTGCGAAACCGCAGTCGACGACATATGCAATGCTGTCTATAGTAACAGAAGCTTCCGCGATGTTCGTTGAAACAATGACCTTGCGTGTATTTTCTGGTGTTGGTTCGAAAACGTACATCTGTTGGCCCGTTGGGAGACCAGAATATAGAGGTAGAGGAGCTAGTGCCTGTGCTCTAGGGTGAAGCATCGCGGCACGTTCTGATATCAACTGTACTGCCGAATCAATCTCTTCACGGCCCGTTAGAAATACCAGAATATCGCCTTCCACTTCTTGTAGATGTATGTCGAACACAGTCTTTACAGCCCGTTCGACGTAGTCTTCTGCGGGTGACTCGAGAAAAAGTATGTCTACAGGGTACATTCGGCCCTCTAGACTGATAATCTTTCCAACATCTCCTCCCTTTTCATTCGAATCCGTCTGGTTCTGAAACTGATCTCCAGCGAAGAAGTGCAAAATATCTTCTGCCTGAAGAGTCGCACTGCTGATGACAATTCTAAGTTCAGGACGCCGCTTTAGAATTTTCTTAAGGACCCCCAAGAGTATGTCAGTGCTGAGAGACCTCTCATGTGCTTCATCCACCATGATTACTGAATAGCGTGACAGCAGTGGGTCTACAAGGGCCTCTCTAAGTAGCATTCCATCTGTTAGGAACTTTATCCGTGTTGATGCAGAGGTCAAATCCTCGAAGCGAATAGAATAGCCCACCTCCTCGCCAACCTTGCAACGCATTTCCTCAGCCACTCGAGCTGCGACAGTTGTGGCTGCGACGCGGCGCGGCTGCAAAAATTTAGCTTTTATCCCAAATAGATAAGTGTTGATGACTTGAGACAGAACGGGAGATACCTGAGTTACTGCGATAGACTTTCCATCTGCACACCATCCTGCCTGGTCTAGATACTGGGGTAGTTGTGTCGTCTTACCACTTCCAGTTTGCCCAACAACAATTGTAACGGGATATGTGTCAACAAGGTACAGTAAATTTTGTCTATATCTTGCGATTGGCAGTAGAGCAGCGGGTTTGTACAGTGATGGAATGAAGGCTGATGTGAGGTCTAGCTCCGAAGCCATTCTTAATAGGTGAAGTACTAAAGTTCAGTGATACGGTTGCAGTCCGAAGTGTTATCAACCAAAAAATATTTTGGTGCCGCCTGGCGCATGTGGCTGAGACATACTGGGTATACACGAAATCTGCCTATAATCCCAAGGATTTAGGATAATAAGGCACTATATCTTTCCTAACGTAAAACACGAACTGCAACGGAATTAGATAAGCGATGGGTACCCATCACGTGTCGCAACGTCACTGCGCATCGAAGCTAACCAGGAGTGGCTGAGCTTCCAATAGTACTCTCCAGGCTACTACTATCACGCGTTGCTTTCTGCATGTCAGGCTCAGCAGCACACTTCCTCTTGTACTCATAGACGATATCGACTACTTTCGATTACGTTGTAGTTTAATTTTTCAGATTCGGTCATTTCTGTCATGGCTGAAGAAGACAAAACTGTTCGTTTTCGTATTTATCACTCGTGCATACCAAACACTTACTGATTTGATACTAGAACACCAACAAGATTACCCCGGGCCCATATAGTCCCAAGCCGGAGTCCCCTACGACGGCACGCCCTCTGGATTTTGATGATGAACCTCAAGAATCTGGCATCACCTCGGTGTCTGCAGCCGTAACTCAGCAGAATGCGACAGAAGTTGCCCCGCAAAAGCCGCCGCGTCCATTGAGCCCGCAACAACAGTCTGAAACAACTCTCAAAGAAGCGTTTCCAACTATTGAAGTGTCAGTAATCAAGGCAGTCCTGGTAGCGAGCAACTGGGACGTTGAACGTGCTTTCCATGCTCTCCTTGGTTTGTGGACCTTTACAGCCAAAGGTGTCATCGCTGATTATTAATGTGTGTAGGCATGACTGACCCCAGCGCTGCCGAGCAAGATGTTCCTCCTCCAAAGCCACCCCGCCCCTCCGCAACGCAGAGACAACTGGAAGCAGATGAATTATATGCTCGCCAGCTTGCGGAGCATTACAATCGCCGTGCACCCCAATCCCGCTTGGAGGGCGGTCATCCATATGATCGGTCGAGAAGGGACAGTGAGCTGTCGGATGACAGAGAGTATAGTTTTTTTGAAGGTATCCGTTATTCATCGCAGAGGGATATTTTCATGATTGCTAATAGTTGTAGACGATCTTCCGGTGATCCGTGAAAATATCCGCAAAGGATTTCTAGAGACCCAAACAAAAGTTAACTCGTGGGTTCAAAATCTAAAGAAAAGGCTGGATGGCGAAGACCAGGACGATGTGCCGTCTAGTCAGGGCTATCGCAATGAGTGTGATGCCCAAACAAGGAGAAGCGGAGAGTTGGGCCGTCGCAGCGGGGATCGCGAACGCTATGACGCAGACCCCCAGGTTTTAAGTGATGATTTTTCAGCTCTTGAAATGAGAGATACAGAAGGTTTGTTTCGCTAACAGCCTCTTTGATTTGCTATGGTGGTTGTACTGACATCTGGAATAGCTCCTCCACCAAGACCACCAAGGCCGCTTGCCAATCCTAGCCTCTACAAGACCTCGTCGCCTTCACCAGACAGACGCAAAGTATCTTTTCAAGAGGGCCCGCCCACCGAAATCGGGGACAATCTTTACGACGCGTCTGAATCGTCTAGGCATTCTCCCGCGGGTGGCAAACCAAGCAAATGGCAACCATTGTCCACTGTTGAGCCTTCACCTGTTGGAGATCACGATCCATTTAGTTTAGGTGATAGCGAGGATGAAAAAGATACCAAACCTCGGGATCAGACTCCCGCTGATGGGGGTGACCGCATCAGGACAGCTACAGCCGAGGCGATTGCTGGCGAGTTGCCTTCAGCATCAAAAGCAAATCAGAAGGCAGATGGCGGAAAGTCTTAACGCCGTGTCGGCAATATGCCCTTTTCGATTCATACGCAGTCATGCTCTGCTTTTTCGTAGTTATTCAGGATGGATGCCTAGAGTTGATAATAATACCAAGACCGCAGCACAATACCAAAAGCTGAGTTATCATATACACGTGTCAGTACAATGAAGCAAAACACCACAACTTAGCGAGTTATTTTATTGTAACTACACTTCCAATATCTGGACAGAGGGTATCACTGAATTACACCCACGGAGGGGAATTAAAGAAGAGAAAAAAAAAACAAAACGCAAGGTCAGAACTGCATCTATTCACCAAGGCCATTCTCATTCGTGAGCTGTGGAGCAGCTGTGGCTTCTTTCCTCAGATCCTGTATGATCATCTGAGCATTTAAAGGGGATTGTTAGCACCCTAGCAACTATTAGAGAGAAGCATTGAAAGCCCGAAACTCACAGCAAGGGCGTCAGGATTGACGCCGTTCTCGATGAGTGAGACGCAAAGAGAAAGATCAGTTCTGTCTAAAGCCGTGTTCTACATATCCAGCGGATTAGATCATGAGGAATAGGGAAACACCATAGCATTACGAGCAACAACGCCACGGGAAAGTATGGATGGTTCACATACGAGAAGTATAGAGATCTCGTGAAGAATGTCAATAACTTCGCGTGCCGCCTGACGCTTGTCGTCGGGTTGAGAAGGCATTTTCTTTAATTTGATATGCCCAGAAAGAGGTAAAAGGGAAGAAAGAAGGAAAGGTTAAGAATTAAAACTGGAATAAAATATTGGGTTTTGCAGTACTGGCAAGAATGTCGGATGTGGTAGAGGTGGTGAACTAGCAGAGGTACTACCAAGTATCAATATGTAGTACGGAGTAGATGCAATACAGTCACGGAAGGTCAGCTGATTGGTCGTGACCACCGACGAGAGGTGGAACTCCAGTTACGTCGTGGGTGCAGTCTTCAATAGCTAAGAACTACCCTTGTACCTTATATGTACCTTAGCACATCCGTCACGCATACGATTTGTTCCTGGCGGCCGGCGAATTTTCCTGTATGGACGAATCTACAAACATTCACTTTCGCGATGAACAAAATTGCTCAATATTGATGGCTTATCGGGCTATCGAGACGCGCCACACCACAACAGCCTATTTCTAACAACCTAGAATGTAAGTCCCTGAGGGATCATCAGGAATGTGAGATATGGAGTTCAACATATCAGACATCCATACCTTGGACAGGAGCCACGCATTCGAGGTTCTCGCCCAGATTGCACGCGTCGAGAAGGCGGCGTTCCCCACCAATGAGGCTCTCGGATTTACCGAAAATTGCTGGAGAAGGAAGCCGAAGACGAAAGTTTTGTATGTGCGACAGGTGCGGCATTGGATGCACGCTTCCCTTTAGTCCCTATGCTATCTATGCTCGACAGAAAGGGAGAGCACAGTTACACAAACTCTTTGTCGCAGAAAGTCATCGTCGACAAAGCGTCAGGATTAAATTAATGGTTTATATTCTACTATTTCTGTAACTGGAAGGCTGCTAGCATATCTAGTTATCGGTGAACAAGGCCAGAACCCCAGCCCGATGCCTGTATCTCCAACTTGGGCTCGGAGAATGTGAGGAACTCACCGATTATTACGCGCCAGGGCACATGGGGATCAGAATGATACTAGACCACAGTTGTGGCCCTTGACGTGTGCTCCTATTACTCTCCTATACATTTGCCTCTGTTAGCCCCCTCCTGGAGGAATGGTCCTCTCAAGGGCACCTTTTCCCTTTTCTCCCCTAGGTTTTAACTTTAGGAAGGGACAAACACGTATGATCACTAACATTCTTTGCCTACCAACCCCTCAAGTACTCGAAGGAGTCAAGCCCGACCGGAAGTCCTGTTTGGGGGTCCTCCTTGGCTCCTACAAGCCGGTACCCCTTGCATGACCGTGCATTTCGTGAAGCGTGCTTTATCGCGCGGCAACTACTACTCGTACAATTATCACCCTTCGCCGACTATTCTCCATAATTTAGTGACGTCAAAGATATCCAGGTATGGCTCGGATGAAGGGGTCTCACGAATCTCGCTTCTCCTGTGCTTTGATTAGCCCTTAGGCGCGATCACCGGGGAGAATGGTAGTCCCTATTCTAAGGATAGACAAGCCTATTTTCCCATGTCCATCTCAGCTTCTTCATACAACCTAATTCCTACTCTTCAGCTACTTTTCACGTCACCCAAATGGTCGTCAGAATATCTCCTGGGTGGACAACAGAATATTTGTTTGTTCTTTCGACCAAGTATCGTCCAGGACCGTTCTGTCTACCTCGAAGATATGGCGCTCATCTGGCTGATCATCCTTGGTTTTACGTGGATTATTGATGCAAAGTTGGTCTCGAACTACCCTATTAATTCACAGCTGCCACCTGTGGCGCGGGTCGCGCAGCGATATCAATTCGTTTTCTCTAAGGGCACTTTCGGTGGTAGTGACTCCTCAATAACATATTCGCTCTCAAACGCCCCATCGTGGCTTCGAGTAGAAAGCAAAAGCCGCACTTTATTCGGCACACCTGGGGAGGAAGATGAGGGGACGGTGAAATTTGATCTTGTGGCATCAGACAAATCAGAGTCTGCAAGCATGGAAGTCACTCTCATCGTGACAGAAGATGATGGACCAAGACCTGGAAAGCCATTGCTTCCTCAGCTTGAAGCGATTGCCGCGACATCCGCTCCATCAACAATCCTGATTCATTCTGGGGATGCCTTTGACATATCTTTCGACCAAGACACCTTTACCAACACCCGCCCCTCCACCGTATACTATGGGACATCTCCAGATAATGCCCCGCTACCTTCCTGGGTGGGATTTGACCAATCAAATCTTCGATTCTCAGGTGTTGCACCTAATAGTGGGCCTCAAACTTTCGCTTTTAGCCTTGTCGCTTCAGATGTGGCTGGTTTCAGCGCAGCCGCCATGAAGTTCGATATGACGGTCAGTCCGCATATTCTGTCATTCAACCAGAGTGCGCAGACTTTCTTCGTTAGCAGAGGAGAGCAGTTCACCAGTCCTCGGTTCAAGGAGGCGTTGAGATTAGATGGGCGAAAACCGGCAGGCGCCGATCTGACTGATATCCAAACTGACTCTCCTTCCTGGTTAGAGTTTGACAACACTACTATCTCATTTAAAGGGACCCCACCGGTTGACGTGGCGAATGAAAACATCACTATTTCCGTCACAGACAAGTATCAAGATATAGCAAGGCTTATCGTTAGTCTGCGATACTCCCAATTCTTTCACGATATAGCCGAATGCGACGCGGCCATCGGAAGCTACTTCTATTTTGTTTTTGACAATACAGTTCTAACCGATGATTCCGTTCAACTTGAAGTCGACCTGGGAAATCAGCTCCCATGGCTGCAGTACAACACCGATAATAAGACTCTGTACGGCCTTGTCCCGGCTGATTTTAACCCAGACAAATATACATTCAAGCTTACTGCTCGTAAGGGGACCGCAGAAGATACCAAGAAGTTTGCAATCAATATTTTAGACGAAGGAAGTTCTTCTGGTCAGGGCACAGACGAGTCCACAGGCTCCAAGGGGATCCATGGAAAGAAAGCCGGAATAATCGCTATTTCAGTCGTGATTCCTTTTGCCTTTTTAACGAGTCTTTTGCTTCTTTTTTGCTGCTGGCGCCGTAAGTGCAGGGCATCGACACATGAAGAAGAACAGCTGTCAAAGGAGAAAGTACCATACGCAAATGGCCCAGAGCTACCAAGCTGTCAGCCTTATGAAGAAACGATCCAATGTAATCTCCCGAAATTGACCAGAGACACCCCGGAACCATCCTCGAATCCACCAAAATTGGAACTAGGACCTTTGTGGGACACAAGTCCCTTGGACGACAGCGACCAGGGACGACCGATCGAAGGCAGGAATGACACACTTTCTGCTTCGGCCATTGATTGGGATATCGCTCCGCTAAAAGTTTTTGAACCAGAAAAGGAGAAACAGATCGACGATGCTGCCGTTCCACCCAAGCGGCTGTCGTTCCAGAATAGTCCGCCTATGCGCAGGCGAGCTACCACTAATTCACGAAAGCGAGAACCTCTCAAACCAATCCAACCAAGGAGATCATTGAAACGAAACTCGGTGCACTCATCCAAATCAAGAAGGTACTCCAAACGTTCTAGTGGAATATCATCTGTTTCATCCGGACTTCCCGCAAGGCTTAGCGGTGCAGGGCATGGTGCAGGTGGCTTCGGGCCTCCTGGGCATGGAATAGTCAGAGTGTCATGGCAAAATACGCATGCATCTTTCCAAAGCGACGAAGGCGGCGTTGGGAATCTAGCACCTTTGTTTCCTCGGCCCCCACCTCGAGCAAGATGCAGTGTTGATCTTCCAAAACGCATGAGCTTACGAACAATTGAGCCTGATACACTAACAATTTCGGAGGCTGATTCCTTGGAGGCTTTCGTTCACAGTAGGGCGAAGAACCGAAACTCGTCCAACCCAATGTTCTCCGGTCAGTTTGGCCGCAGAACATCTTCAGGTCTTCGTGCCCTGGAGAGAGCTCGAAGTACAGCTAGCCGCACTGATACTATAAATAGCTCCAGTTACTATGATGACTACAGACGATCCATACATGAACGTCCGTGGTCTACGGCAATGTCTGCCTCCATCTATACGGATGACAATCGACAGTCTACGTATCTAGAATCTTTGTCCGAAGAATCCTTGAATGTACGGCCACTAGCTTCAATGACTAGAGGACTGAGCCAATCAAGCCTGGCACAGAACTACTCAGAGGCAATAGCACCGCTTCCTCGGTTGCTCAGCGAACTAAGCCTTGCCAGTGCAAGGCACGCTGAGCCACTTGGAGTGAACGACTTAGGGGTCCCGCAACATAACGATGAAAACCAGGTCCATGAACCAGGGTGGTAGGTCCAACGCCACCCTACTTCATCAAAGAGAAGATTCTGGCGCTGGTCCGCAGACGCTGCATAAGAGCTTGTCAAACCTCGTCCACCCTATTTGACGGCAGGGATTGTTGGACAAGTCTAATTCAGCTAGCGGATCAGGAAGCAGAGGGAGCTAACTGAAAGAGGGATGAGTTACAGATGAAGTCCTTTCATGTGAGCAGTACTCTTGTGCTGTATATAGTTGTTGTTTTGCTTTGCGCTGTGTTGCTGGGCCATTGCAGTCTCCATCATGATATCCTTGTTTTTCTGTACAAGTACCTTTTAATGTTTCATATATCTCTGAACCCCAAAGTTCAAGGGGCCAGATAAAAAGCAGTTCTAGTATTCTAGCAGTATCATATACATAATTTGTACACTGCAATTGTGCCATCATTCAAGTGTGTCGTGATCACGTGGTGTACCTTTATCATGTCTCCAAAGCAGGCTAGTAGTGTCGATCGGGGCCGCTGCAGCTCCCCATTCCATTCAGCGAAGACACCGAACTGAGAGTTGCGCAGAATTGTCCGCTTCGGATTATGCTATATCCTCTCGTCATTATTTCAGTACTCCGCGGAAAGGATTCTCCATGAGTCGTTGAAATCTTCCGATTCGGGGTCGCTTGATGAGATACATAATCTGACCACTCTTATTCCAGTAGTTTCCACTGCGACTGTCTATATTTCAGTTACTTTGCTTTTGATTCAGCCATAACGATGGCGGCACAGGCGGCTCTCATCGCCGATACGATCGTCGGTATGAAAAGGGCTCTACGCAAAGAAAATGATTGTAAGTCTTACTGCTTCTATTTCCCTCATCTTTTCCAGTCATAGCTCTTTAACTCGGTCTTTTGGTTGTAGTCTCAGGCCCTGATGACCCCATCGCTCAGCCGACAAACCGAGGCAACAAACTACGGACAAACGCTAAACATGTGCGGGAGGGCGCATTGGGGTATATCCAGCCTGAAGATCTTTATAAGCAGGTAGGCACCGTTCCGCGGCCATTGAAGGCCCTTACAAAGTGCCCTTGCTTCTTCGTTGTAGGTCGGAATAAGGCTTCAGCGGCTGACATTCAAATTCTCTGGCAGAAAATTGATCATGCTGGGTACACACGCTATATCCTACAGCCAAACCCCGTGCGCTATGACTCAGAGGGTGATGAGTTAGACGAGGATGATGAAGACTCCGAGGCAGATGCCGCTGCGGCGGAAGAGAATCCATTTTCTGAGCTCGCGTTGGAAAGTTAGTCTCTCAACTCTCCTTACAAATGACTCATGACTTTCCCGAACGACTAATGCGAATGTGCTTACTAGATTTCCTGTGCCCGTTAAAACATCCATCGGAACTACCTACTCACCCTTCCTTATCCCACGCCTATACGTCAAATGCTCTCTCGAATATGACCAAGGCCATCGAGGCTAAACTACGCCAAGAACGGGCTCTTTTGTGGCGTGCGCGAAACCTCCACAGACTGTTCCTTGGGGATAGCTCTTGGATGCCATGTGGAACAGTTGAGACTCCCGAAGACAGATGGATCTTCGAGCCGCGGCTTGGTAATCCGGGTCACAAATCTCCAATCGGTCCAAATGGGCAGAACAGTGTTCCCAGTCGTTCAACGACAATAGAAATGACAGGTCGAAGCCATGGAGCACATAGTTGTGTTTCACTTGTCAGGACATCGAAAGAAGCCCAGACGGCGGAAAGCAAGGACATCCAGAGTCGCCATACTGCAGAACAAGACATTGAAATGGCTATTGTTCACAATCATGAGAAGGAGAATGGGAGCCCTATGAATGACAATGAGCAGACACGAGAACCCAAGTCCGAAGAGGTTGAGACTCCCGTTATAAGCCTTCCACAGCATTTAGACATCGATGAAGCCAACGGCAGTGACGTAGTAAATTCACACTTGGAATGCAGTCAAAAATCTGACGCGGATGGGCTTCATGCAGACAGAAAAGGAATTGCAACTGATCGAACTGACTCGGGTGACGTGAACGTTGATACGACCTATGAGGGCTCCGGCAATGTCCATGGGGATGAAATGGACAAAGATGAAGAGATGCAGGACGGGTTTTCCCCCGAGCCACCGCGTCGAATGACGACTCGAGCTCAGGCTAATGCCGCAAATCCACAAGAGGATGAATCAGACCACTTCCCACCATCTCCTTCCTCTGACACCCTCAGCTCACTTCCTATACCACACCCTCTCTTTCTCGTGCCTGACTCTATCCGCCCAGATCCCAATTTTGGTCTGTCGCCCATGGAAGCCGAAGATACACGACGACTCCTGTGGTCATATGTGCAGAAACAGGAGGAGACTGTCAGGGGATTCGAGCACATGTTGGAATGCCTACTCCGAGCTTGCCGTATGAAAGATGATGTGCTCGAGTGGTGCAAAGCGGAAGGCCATGTGGGCGAAATGAGTGACGGAGAAGACTGGTATGACCGGGAAAGATGGGGGCTAGTGGAGGGTGAAGACCTCAAGAAGGGCGCGGACGAGGATGAGATTGAGATGGTCGAGGAAAGCCGCGCTTCAAATAAAAGAGGCAGAGGCCGGCGAGCATAGATGCAATAGCTCACTTCTACGGCTCACAATCATCGATGGTGGTTGCATAGATCAATGACCCGGGGGTTGCTGGGTGTTTTCACATTTTGGGCCCTGGAAAGAGGTATCTTTGGCGGCCTCAGCAACTACCGTTACGGCTTCTGTATGACTCAAAGATCTCTATGAGATACGAAACATTAACTTTATACTTATAGGATACTTATCCTAGGGGGTTTGGGGCGTCGCAAATGATATCCATGAATTATTCTATAAAGAGGTGTAAAAGCAAATAGAAATATACTGTCTTTTGTTTTGCTTTGTTCCATGACTACTATCCCGATTCGCCCTCGTAACATTCGGATCGTGTCTTTCATGGTTTTGTTGCGTCTTCTCAGGCTTCCTTCTATTGTTGAATCCCACTCTAGCACCTTGATCACATATTTCCTAGCCAGGGTCCCCCGGGTTGTGTCTATCTATTCCCTCCCGACTGACATAGATTGATGGTTGTTGAATGTCCAAAGACTCAATCCTATAAGCGTTGACCCCGTCTTTCAGTCGCTGCCTAAACAAGCCGCGGTACCATAGCACTCCTTACTGGCTCTTACCGCCTTGCTTGGCCTTTGCACGTTCGCGCTCGCGCTTGGCATAGATCTCAGCAGTGAAAGGACTACAGAATCGTGGGTCAGTTGGTACGGCATGCATGCTTAAAAGAGATATAGGGGCATGTTGCGTAAGGGCAAGAATCCAAGGAAAATTATATCAGACTTACTCCTCCCACTGAAGAGCAAACCAGTACAGAATGAACACCTCGGCGGTCAGGAGGATCCCGGCAACTTTGCCCTTGTAAAGGGCGACACCCAGGAAATTCAGAGTGCTTCCCCAATACATAGGGGAGCCAGTGACATTGAAAGGGAAGCCGGTGACGGGGGCATCCATGAGAATACCGAAATAATCTCCGAGGTAGGTTCCGGTGACGCCTAGGGCATACATGCTGGAAAGAACAAGAACGGACCCCACAGCGAACAAGACGCCGCCTAGAATTGGTTGGTGCACTGGGGCATAATAGGGCTGGTCTTCCAGTGCCAACTGATACACGTGGTCGCGCACGATTCCCAGGGCAAAAATGGCGATTGCGAGGAAGTAACAACCGTAATATGGATTACCGAATATACGTGTCAGGTAATGTTTCCGATATTCTACAAGAGATGGTGAAATATTTGGAACATGAGCCTTCTATCCTGATAAAATGCATTGGGCTCATAGATTGAGGTTTAGTAGTGAAAGGGCGGGGAAAGCCTTGACCAACCGGCACGGGCAACAATGCTAATGAGTGAAAGCTGCGGTCAGTCATCAATCTCTATGAGAAGTCGGAGAGGCGATGGAATGATCGAGGGAACAAATAGTGAAAACAACCTACTTCCAGAAGATTGGGTTGAAAGCGATGGAGAGTGCAGCGCCTGTGAGATCAGCCAGCTGAGTTAAGAAACACATGTGTACAGAAGAGAGTAAATGGTCTGAGACGTACACTTGAAGGACGATTGAGACAGATCGAGGAAATCTGAAAGAGTAGTCATTGTGTGGAAAAGGTCCAGGTCCAGGCTGAAGATATGATACAGGAGACCGAAAGAAAGAAGTGGAGAAAAGAAGGGAGGTCTGAGGTGAGGTGTTGTTGTTGTTGTTGGAAGTGGAGAAGATCATAAATAGATAAAACAAAAAAAAAAAAAAATCTAACAACTAAAGCGGCATGACGTTTTCACTGAGGTCTTCTCTTCTCCGCAAATACGGGACTGGTGGATACTGAAAGTGGCATTGCGATTGGTACCGTCAGTATTACGGGCTAGTACGGAGTACTATGAACCTATTCTAGGTACCGTACTACTCTGTAGTACTGTACGAGTAAGTACATAAATAATCCCATATGTACTCCGTACTAGTACAGAGTACATAGTACTGCATACCACAGGGGGTACTGTTGTTTGACCCCGGGACCTCGGGATTAACCCAATTGAACGTCCTCACCGCCCGTCAACCACCTTCAACGTGGATTATTGCCGATCATCCACTTTTAATCCGCGTTATCAAGATCCCTCTCCCCTCAAAAAACCTTTTATATGTCTTTAAAAGCTACCTGCCTTTTTGAATCGTCATGAGACAATTCTCATCCATCATACGAATGCTCCGGGGAAAATGGCCCTGAAGTGTCGTGATATCGTCATACTAGGCACTGGCGCTTTCATTGCTTGGGGGTTGGCTGTACGCTGCCTGCCATTTCTGCGGTACCTTGGGTATGCTGTCGGACTAGGCATTTTGCTTGCTTCAGTCGCCTTCTCTGGCCTTGTACTCTTCACAGCCCGGAACCCTAACGATGCGGGCAATTCCCGACCCCAGTGTTTGCCAGTCGCCTTTCTCACTCCCCCCAACTGGCAGATTGAAACTCAAAGTCTAAAGAAGCGCTCCATCTACAGCCCCGCCTCCCTTTACCCGCAGTCCTTTATGGTGTCTGAAGGTATCGATGAGCTTCTGGCACTGGTAACTCGGGATTTCATAGCGTCATGGTACCGCGGTATCAGTCCGAACCCAGCATTTGTGACTGAGGTAGACCAAGTAGCTCGGGCAGCCATTGGAAACCTACGCGATCGGTTACTTGCGGAAGATCTTATATCACTTATTGTCTCCCGTATATTCCCTATTCTGACGACACATCTTAAAGAGTTCGACGTCGCCGAGCGATCGGTCCGGGGGCGGAATTTGACTCGAAATGTTACCGAATCCGATGAGCTCGACATCGCAATTGCAAGCAAGTATCGCGATGGTCATTTGCATCCCGCTGCAGTGCTCTCTCTCTCAGACCAAAAGCTAGTAGAGCAGGAATACCTTAGGAAAGTCACAGTTGGGCTACTGCCTCGATTGTTTCCTGGAACCGTTTTAAGCAGTCGTATCGTTTCCGTTCTAGTGAGGGAACTACTGTCATGCGCTGTGCTCCTCCCTATACTATCCGCGCTATCAGACCCTGACACCTGGAATCAGTTGGTGGAAGCTTATGGACGAACAGCTCTCCAGGATCGCAAAACGGTGCGCAAGCTTCGAGCGGCGTTGGATGAGCATGCATCGCCGGTACCCAGGTCAAAACATGGGAATCCGTTCCCGCGGCTCTTGCCAACTGATTCAGAGAGGGCTTTTGAGCGTTTCGTTAGGGCCATCCGGCGTTGTAGCAATCTTTCCGATGCTAGACGGTTCAGAGCTCTTGTTGCAAGCCAGTTGAAGCGGGAAAGTATGGTGGAAGGGCAAGATCCCGTCTATCTTCGTCGATTAGAGACGGGAAAGAGAGTTCTCGACCAGAAGGTAGCGAAGCTTTCAGCGCCAGCTAGTAGTCGTTCATCGCACGCCACCGCAGCTACGACGCACTTGCGCCCCCCAAAATCCTCACTGGCTCAAGAGGCGTCCTTGGTTGATGTAATGCATGATGCATCCGGTCTATCTTACTTTATGGAGTTCATGGACCGTCAACAATTTATGTTCCTCGTGCAATTCTGGATTGTGGTTGATGGCTTACGCAACCCACTCGAAGATGACACTGGTGACGAGACCTCAAGTTCCACGACATGGACAGAAACAGACAAAAATGACATGGCTTTAATCAGCGAAACGTATCTGTCGAAACCCCAACTTAAAGTAACAGCCGACTCGCGTCGAGCTGTGAAAGCCTTCTTGAGCGCCGGGAAGCGAGCTACTCCGGAGCAGTATCGCAAAGCTAGGACAGTGATATTGACTACTCAATCTGCGGTATTGGATGAACTTCAGAATATCTATTACCCCAAATTTCGACAATCAGACTTATTCTATACATATCTCGCTTCGGATGAAACATCTCATTTTGAACCTCATACGGCCGTCGCCCCTGCCGCGGAGGTATATGAGAGACCGGCACTTCCTCCGTTGATGGGCCGTACGGCATCTCATCCTGGGTTCAAATCGAAAGACCTGCGCAGGGCCGCCGTTTCCTCGAGTGATGTACGGACTATGGGGAAACTATTTGACGATGACGACACTCCAAGGCGTTCCTTGGATTCCGAGCGGTCTGCCCCATTATTCGATGATGACTACGACACGGACCCTCTTGCGATGTCAACGCAGAGCTTTGGTCGCGACTCGCAAAACGGTGAACACGATGCGAGTCAGAATCAAGTAATTGAAACCATGGAGGCTGCATTGAACGATATCATTACGAACGAGCCGAAAAGTAATAGATTAGAAGATATCAAAAACAATGATGCCTCGTCATCTAGGCTGTCCAGCAATGATCGATATCCACAATCACCTCGTAGCTCTGTGGAATCCACACGAACAGACGACAAGACCAAGCCCAACATCTCTTCTCTAGGGTTGGTGGATGAATCTTCACGACTCGGCGTTTTTGCTGATGATCTCTTTCCCGACCACCATAAATTTATTGAGGATGAATATGAAGAACCCGTTGGAATAGACGACAAAGATCCCGCTGACGAAGTCCATGAAGCCGCCCCAGGAGATCTTGGCTTGACGGAAGCGATCGAAGCACTCACGGCAGAGATTGAGAAACTTGGATCCCAGGAATCGGTAGTTGATGCCTTGACGCGGAAAGCTGAGCTCACGAACAATACTGCAGAACTCAGAATTTTACGAAAGTCAAAAGCTAGCATTCAACGGGAAGTCCGCCGCAAGGACATGCAGCGGCAGCAGTACATGATCCAAGAAAGCGACAACAGCCTGTATGGTCGTTCAACTGTTCGGATCACGTCTATTGTCGTAGGGAAAGAAGAGGACGGTCGAGAATTTGCAATGTGTATGTAGTTTTCACCTCCTGCCTTTTCCATGTGGTGTTAGTTAACTAACGATTGCTCCAGACGTGGTTGAAGTGCAAAGGAATGCTGGAGAACAAATGCCAGCGGCGTCCTGGGTTATTGCCCGCAGATATAGTGAGTTCCACGAACTTCACCATAAACTACGCATGAGGTATCCGTCGGTGCGGCACTTAGAATTCCCACGGCGACGTATGGTCATGAAGCTTCAGCGGGAGTTTTTGCAAAAGCGGCGCTTAGCGCTGGAGGCGTATTTGCAGAAACTGCTGCTCCTACCAGAGGTTTGCCGAAGCCGTGACCTACGAGCCTTCCTCTCCCAGCGAGCCATCATCCCA